GGCGGCTCATCTTCTCGCAAGTGTTGCTATCCTACTTCATCGCGTGCTTCGACAGCACAATTCTGGCGTCATCTCACCCCGCCATCAGTTCATACTTTGGGGCCTCTAACCTGTCCTCATGGCTGTCGACGGCATTTTTCCTTACTTCATCCGCCTGCCAGCCGCTCTTGGGTCGCCTATCTGATGCAGTCGGCCGCAAGCCTCTCTTTGTCGGTAGTCTCGGCGTCCTGACCGTGGCAACCGCTTGGTGCGCACTAGCCGGCACCATCCAGAGTCTCATCCTTGCCCGAGGAACCTGTGGCCTTGGAGCGGGCGGTGTCACGACAATTGGCAACATTATTGTCGGGGATATGGTTCCAATTGAGTGAGTTCCACGCCATGTCGCCCTGAAAAAAGGGAAAAAGTTGGTCTTGCTTCATCTTCCACGCGACTGCTCCAAGTGAAGCGTTGAGTACCTATAGCAGCTAAAAGATGTCTATTGCACACAGGCAACGCAGCTCGTACCACTCGTACATCAACATATGCTATGGAATTTCGTCGGCCCTCGGTGCAGCGTTGGGAGGCGCCATTGCCGATGTCTTAGGCTGGCAATGGGAGTTTGGCATCCAGGTAGCCCCGATGGTGCTTTGTATGGCCGTCTCTATGATTGTGATTCCCAGCGAACTTGGTATCGAGAAACGCAGTAGCAGCCTTTGGGATGTGCTGCGTGAGTTTGATGCCAAAGGGTCACTTGTTTTGACGACTTGCATCGCATTCGCGATTCTGGGCCTTGTAAGTGTCGTTCCATCCTTGCTGCAGCCATCACGACTTGCTGATGACTGCAGAGTCTGGGAGGAAATGTCTTGCTTTGTAAGAAATCCAGCGCGGAGAACTCGTTTATTCCTGGAGCTAATAATGCCACTGTACCCTGTGTAGGGACTCATCCACTCGTCATCACTTCACTCGCCGTCCCGATGCTGCTGGTTCCACTCTTCATCTGGTTCGAGTCTCAAGCGCCGAAGCCCATCATGCCCCTGCAACTCGTAACAACTTCTCCTCGAGTCAATTTGCTGCTGAGCAGTTTCATCGCAACGTTTTTGATTAACTCAATCTTGTTCCACATGTGAGTATCAATTTCCCATCCCATGCGGTTTGGGTTTGAGTGTCGCTGAGACGAAGCATATGTTACGATAGACCGACGTACTTCCAAGCCGTCTTACTGACATCCGCCACTTCGTCCGGACTCTATCTCGTTATTCCCGCCATCGCTTCTTCCATCGCAGGTGCCCTCGTCAGCACTGCAATGGATCGTTTCCGGCGCCTCAAATGGCCGCTTGTGTGTGGTTCTGTGCTACTTTTCTTCGGCGCAGTCGGGCTCTCCTGTCTCCGGCGCGGACTCCATCCAAAGCTCTATCTTCTCGCTACGCTACCATCCTCCATTGGACAAGGTTTCCTGTTCCCAGGGGCTTTCATGGCCCTCCTGGCCTCGTCCCCGCAATCTGAGCAAGCCATGATCACTGCCGTACTGATGTTATGGCGCTGTCTAGGACAGGTACTCGGCGTTTCATTCAGCAGTCTCGTCATGCAAAACGCCTTGTCGCATTTTCTCAACCACTTCGTCCAAGGCGAGGACCGCGACGACATAATACGTCGAGTACGCACCAGTGTTCAAGAGATCGTGAAGCTGGACCCACGCCACCGTGAAGAAGTCGTCATGAGCTACGAAGCTTCGTTGCGCTGGACCTTCATGGTTTGTTCCGTGTTTGCAGCCATTTCCTTCTCTATAATACTGCCGGTAAAATTACCACGCTTGGGTAACCCGAAATATTAAAACAAGATAAGCCGCCTTGATGTGAAGTAGATGAGGCAGGAAAGGACAAGAAATCGCGGAATACCAGGAAGGTACGGACAGAAAAGTGTCATGAATGGGTTATTAATGCCGTCATGTTAGATGTATGGGGTCAAGCTCTCAGGGGAACACATTAACCAGCTTGAAGTCTCGCAGACCGACGCATGACGGCCCCCGATGTTCGCGACTGTGCCAAATGAGTGTGATAATAAGTAGCTGAGCGAGTGCAACGACATCCCTAAAGCTGGAGAAGAAAAGAGTAATACTTGGGGGAAGGGTTCGAGTTCCGCTCTGGAGCTTGTGTGTATCAATGTCGAGAGCGACTACCGAGATTCACACGGGCCCAGCCCGGTACAGCATCCATGAATGAGGTAGAAGGCACCCATAGAATGGCGCCGATCCGAAGAAACGTGGCTGTGTATTATAGAAAGGCCTGTCTTAAGGAATGTTCCACCATGACTCATGTAGACTTCTCAAGTCAACATCTTCTGGGACAGCCAAGTATGAAGTCATATCAGCGCCGGGGTCGAACTCTTTGTTGGTAGTGCCATTGCCGAGATACCAAGCGAAACTACTTCCTGACACATCCAAGTAGTCGTACTCCCAATCTTCCCAACGAGGCTCTCTCCAGACGGTGGTGGCATGAGCGGCGCTGCCCGGCCACACGCCATGCACACGGGCAGTTGATGTGCCGCCTTTAAACCAAGAACTGCAATTCTCAGATAAAACCGTCTTGGCAAAGAAGATGTCCGCATAATGCAGAAAATCGGCTGCTGCCTTGGCGGACGGTGCAACTGACTTGATGCCTTCCCGTGAAATCTTGCGCAAAATCTTTGCAACATATGTAAGCTGGTTCTCAACACTGTGCGTCACCAAACCCGAGAGGCCTGTTGCGTGCGGGCCGTTGATAAACGCTAGGTTTGGAAATCCTGGGGTTGCCAGACCGAGGTATGTGTGGGGAAAGCCGTATTCTCCGCTAGGTTTCCAAACGTCTTGAAGCTGCTTGCCATTGGCGTGAATTGAAAATGGTACCATGTCGACATGAGCTCCAGTAGCGCATAGTATCGCATCAACATCACGCCGAACACCGTCAATGGTCTCTATACCGCATTCAGTGAACGCCTTGATAGCCGTCTGAATATATACCACGTTATCCTCCGTCAGGGCTTCCAAGTAACCTGGGCCCGGCGTCAGACGCCGGCAGTTGGGTGAAAAGTCAGGTATCATATCGGATACCAGTTCGGGCTTCTTGGCCAACTTGTCTTGAAGTGTCTTTGTATAAGTCTCCCGCATCTTAGTGTTCGCCTCAGATCCTGTAATGAAGGTCGCAAAGCGGCGCCAATACATTTCCTCCTTGGCTTTCCGAAAGGTTAGATAGTCTTTCGGGTCCAAAAATGCCATTTTCTGCTCTTCCGAGAATGGCTGAGCCGCTAGCGTTCTCTCATCCCCCGAGTAAGACGCGGAGATCCAGGTCTTGCTGCGAACATAGTGATCTAATCGCCGGACCGATTTATGCAGGCTGGAAACGAGCTGAACTCCACTAGCGCCATTACCAATCACTGCAACTCTCTTCCCGGTAGGGTCAAAGGAAAGGTCCCAGTTGGAGGTGTGGCGAATGAGACCTCTATAGCGGTCAAGCCCCGGAACGTCAGGGAGCTTCCCTGCATTGAACTTGCCCGCCGCAGAAATAATGAAGTCGACTCGGTCCTCCATACGACTTCCGTTGCGCACGTTGTGTAATGTTAGGTTCCATAGTCCGTTTGTATGGTCCCACGACGCATCTTCAACCCGCTGGTTAAACTTGGCGAACTTGTAGACGTTGTACTTGTGGGCCAGAGACTGCCAGTATCCCTTGATCTCTATACCGGGAGCGAACTGGTCACTCCAATCCAACTTGGGCGAAAAGGAAGCCTGATACACGTGCGACGGAATATCACACCGCACACCGGGGTATACATTCTCTAACCATGCTCCTCCCTAAGCATCCTTTCAGTAAACATTTACTTTCAAAGCTAGATGGACTTCATGGGAGACGAACAAAATCGTGATTCTTCTCATATATGACCAAGTCAATAGCCGGGACTTTGGCAGGTAGAAGAATCCCTGCCAGAACGCCCGCAAGTCCTCCTCCGATGACGGCAACCCTCAATGGCCGCGGCTCGTCGATGCTGCGGTTGATCAGACCGGCGGCCTGTAGTGATGCGCTTTTGTACTGCGGGTTCTCCTCAGCAGACGATTCCAAGTTACTGTCCCCCAGAGAAAACGCGGGGTGTGAGCCAAGATATCCCTTCCCCATGGCGTGCCTGGCTGCGGTCCTTGCCCCGTAGCTTTCATGTTCCGACAGCTCGGAGGCCGCGTCCTCCGGGTGTTCGCGGTGCGCAGTGCTTAGAGTAGTCATGGCAAGGAGACTCGGAAGTTATTATTATACAGGTCAATTGAGTACTCAGCTCTCTTGGTTTGCAGCTGAGGTAGTTGACATTCCCTGGATATCTGGTATGTATATGATATAATGCATCCTCATTTCGACGTCTCGAAGCCTCAGTCCTTGCCCTTTAATTCCCTCATTACAAGTTCCCTGATTGAAGACTTCTTTCGGATCAAAACCGGCGGTGTGACAAATGAATTAATAGATCGTGCAATGACACGATAGGCCATGCCAGTGGCCATCGTAGTTTTGCACAAGCTCAAACAAGCGCCCGAGGAGCATCTACCTACGTGTGACGTACTCTCGGCTCGGTGGTGGAGGCGCCGCTACTCACCGGTTACAAATATCAAGGCTGGTTGTTCCGCACTAGCGATAATATGGGTCCTCACCGGTTCGCGCTTGTTTCCAGCGTTTTCACGTGGCGCGCCGTGATTGGCAGCACATGGCAATCTATCTCGTGCCGTCCCGTGCCGTCCCGTGCCGTCTCCTGCCGCCCGGACGATCGGCGGATCGGACCGTCGCGTTTAATAACGGTAAAATCGGGCATACTGATCGTTGTCATTTGGCAGCTTGTCGCGGTAGCGGTGTAGTACTGTGATGTTTACTCATTAGATAATAGTTGAAGTGGATAAGTATCCAAGCAAAACGTCCATTCAAAGTCAACGGCTCCTCTTGACAGTCAATTCAATCTACTTTACATCTCATATCTCACTCTGCAACAGTCAATATCATTTTCAACTTTGTATCATGGCTTCCCACGAGCTGCAACGCCTCATACAGCGCGAGTTTGTGAGCCATGACAACATCAGCTCGGTCTTGGAAACGTTATACGGAGCCATCGAAATGGGGGTGCAATTCAAAGCCAGGGAAAAGGTGATAGAACATCTCCCGCTGGATACTTTGGCTGGGAAAATTATGCAACCCATTCCGGAGACGGGACAGAATCTGTCAGAGACGTTGCAGGAGTTTCAGGAGACCGTCTTACGCCATTCGACCAACTTCGGTTCCAAGAACTTCATGGCATTCCCTGACTGCGGCAACTCGGTCTCTGCACTTGCTGGCGCCTTTTTGATGAATTGCATGAATCAAAACCTTATCAACTCCAAGCATTGCGCACCAGCAGCCAGTATGGTGGAGATCAACGTCATCCAGTGGCTACGGGAGCTCGTGGGATACACTGTCAAGAGAGATGTCAATAATATTTTCGACGTCGGCGGCACCGTCGTAACTGGCGGCGTGCTGGCCAACGCCACAGCCATGTTGATGGCTCGCGAACGTGCTTTCCCTGGGACCAAGGACAAGGGCACCTCTTTCGATCCCAGCCGCGTTCGTGTCATTCTGCCCCAGTACGTCGAGCACTACAGTATCCGGGCTAGCCTGGGATGGCTTGGGCTGGGCGAAGAGAACGTCATTCGCGTCAGAACAAAGGATTTCCGTATCGACCTTTCTGACCTTGAACACCTTCTTGAAGATAACGCAGGTAATTATCACTTCATGGCAATCGTTGCGTATGCTGGCGACAGTCGCTCGATGACGATCGATAATTTTGCTGCGGTTCATGAGCTGGCAAAAAAGCACAACATCTGGTTTCACATTGACGCCTGTCACGGCTTGCAGTACGCCTTTAGTGATGCACTCAAGCCAAGGCTAGGCGACATTCACTTGGGCGACAGCATTACCATCGACCCGCATAAGATCCTCTTTCTACCATACAATTTGAGTGCTGTTCTGGTCAAGGATCCCGAGAGTTTTCGAGCGATCTCGGGCACGTCAGATCTGATCATGAAAGAGAACTATGCGTTTGGGCAGATGACTCCCTTCATCGGCAGCAAAGCATTCTGGAGCCTCAAGCTGTGGTTTACATGGAAGACCTTGGGCCGCAAGAACATCGGAGATCTGATTGAACGTCGGCACAACCTCGCTGCATATCTCACAGAGCAGCTGCAACAGTGTCGGGACTTTCTGGTGCTCAATCACGAAGTGAACATCAATTCTGTCATGTTCATGTACAAGCCTTCGCATTTCCAGCCGGACTCGGTGGCACTGGACGACTACGTGCAGCGGCTGAACGAGTTGAATAAGGAAATACAGAACACTCTGTTCTGTGAGGGGGATTTCTATGTGCACACTTTCTCGATTCCTGATCTAGGCAATGTCGTGGGCACGGGTGAAAGGATGTTGCAGCCTTTACGATATATGTGCGGCAACCCGCTCACTGCCGAGACAGATATCGACGCGCTCATCTCACGTGTGCGTAAATTGGGCCAGACTGTCGAGCATAAGTACTCCTATCACGAGGTGAATCAGTTGCGGGCGCGGCTGGCCTAGGCTCCTCCTTCGCGCATTTCACAAACGCATTGTGTACAACGGGATCATGCCCGTGATGACACTGAGATATTTTGTAATCTTTTGCAAGATGTGCTGCGATGTTGCGTGTCCGTATATAGTTCTGCGCATAGCATTAGCCCTGGGCTGTTATTCAGCGGGTTTTCAACTCGAATTCTACATATGTCACTCACTAGTTGATTACGCCCGGTGACCAGCTGGCCAATAGAGGCAACTATCTGCTTAATTACATGTTCGCTTCCAAATTTGACGAAGTCTCAAAATAGCCCATACCTTCTCCATCTCCATCTCTTTGTCTTTCCTGTTCGTCACGACGCCCTGTTCCCGTGTGTGATTTTATTAACAAGCAAGCTTGAAGGCGATTCTTCAAGTGTTCAGAGTCCTATCTACGGCGGCTGAAGCGGTGCCTGTTGTTGGATGCACGGGTGATGTGCGAGGGGTTAGTAGTGAATGGCTGGTCCGGCGAGGACCCATCAATGTCGCGTGTTCTCCAATCGCCCTGTTGCTAACGCATAACGGATCGTGGCGCGCACTGCTTCCATGTTTGGTACCCAGTTCTCATTGTCCGATCGTTGCTTGCCTCCCAGGAAGAACGAAATGTTCCCTCGCTGTGTGTCTGTGCATTGCATCATCTCCGTGCGAAATGCTGTCCATCTGGTGCATCGAAAAAGAAAGTGATCTACTGTTTCTCTACTGTCTGTTTTCGCGATCTCATTTTCGGCGAAAATGCATCCCCCTGCCAGTTTTAGCCTCTGCTATTGGCTGCTGTATGTCTCCCCGTCCTCTCCGTCCTTTTTCACCGAAAAAGGACCATCGAACAGCGCCCGGAACACGGACCCGGCCGAGCTGACTGCCCCACTCGCCGCGGAACCGTCCGATAGGTTCGGGCGGCTCGCTGCTTGATACGCGAGATGAGAAGGGCAGGAACACCACGGATGCACAGAAAGAAAAATACAACGCGCATCGCAATTACACATTCTCTCCGTAAAGACACTGTCGCACAGAGAGCATCCCCAACTCGTACAGGGCGCTTGTCTCACCTGCCTACAGTGGCTGTAGCTGCCTCCCAGGCAGCTACAACTGCCTAAAGAAGCAAAAACTTTCATTTGTGTATAAGAAATGCACGACGGAGAAGGACAGACAGGAGTTTTGGACTCCTCAAGATAATTCTCATCAATTAACACGATGCCAACTGTGATCCCTGTGGAGCCAATTGTCTGACACGCCTCGATCGGCTAGTTCAGATACTAGAACTGGCTCCCTCGATCAGCAGTACTGGACAGGCCCTCACGGCTCCTCGGGCCATCCTCCGGCCCAGGTCGCCTCATACCGACCGTCACAGCATGATCCAGGCCTTCACGGGGCACGGGTGAGAAAGATCGGAGCTGCATCAGCGTGGTGTCGGAGTTTTGTATGTGTGGGACTTGATGACTTCACGATATCCACTTCCTAGCCATCACCCTCGCTGCGGAACGGCGCTCACCAGTGACCGCAACACCAGTGACCAGTTAGCCTAACCACCAGATTGTGGAAGGCACATGTGTTTTACGACCCAGCCGAGAGTCCCTCACCGAGGTCGAGGGATATTTGTGGTTCGTTCGTGATAGTCTGCCGCAGCCGATTATCCGGTTACTCGCCGATTGGGCTCGAGTCAGTAAAATACCTCGGCCGCCCCGACCGTCATGAACTTGGGCCGCCCCGCAGGTGACATGTTCGGGCGCCGCATCAAAATCCTCCACCGCCTCAACTGACTCTGACCTCACGCGTAGCCTAAGCATACTACGAATTCCTACAAATCCAACTGGCTCGTTCAGTGAATACGCGAGTGGCCCAATTGCGGCACACTCGTTAACGCGCTCACTTTCTGTTGAATATCGCTCGCGGTTGGGGTAGTCAGTCTCCCGTTCGCCCGCCCAGTACCAGCAAAATTGCCCCTCCACCCGCCCTGTGGGGCCTTGATCGCAAACCACATGACGTACGGCGGAGGATTGCGATTGTACGGGGAGAGCCCGATGTTCAGAGCATGGCAATTTCTGATCGGGATTACGAAACGCAAAGAGACTGCTGGGCTGGGCTTGTTGCGACTTTTTGCCTTGGCAAACACGTCCCACCTACTTCACCGGAACGACATATTAATGCGTAGTACACGACCGTGTCGATCTCGCGTCTTCTCGCAGATTTAATGTACCTTGCCTACTTTATTACCGAGCCATTCCGTTTGGACGCTATGGACGTTATGGCAAAACATGGAAAGCCGCGGCCAAGGCGCCAGCTTACTCTTAAAGCCTGTAACATGTGTCGCAGAAAACGAGCGAAGGTTTGCTCGCAGTTGCCACTCGGGCTACTTGAAGCTGACCTACTTCTCTCTAGTGCGACGGGCAAATGTCCTGCCAGAGATGCATACGACATGATGTGGAATGTTGCTATGACGAAAGACGGTGGCAGTCAAAAGATAGCTTGCGGCATGAAAACGAGCGCCTTCGAAGTGAACTACAGGGGAGCAATCTTGTACTAGCCGCGTTGGCTCGGTCACCCTTTGCTCGACATATCGATCAATGGCTTCAGGAACAGCACTCCTGTGGGTATATGGACTACCTGCCCGACAGAAGACACCAGATGGCCGATTTTGTCGACTACGACTCGGACAATGCTCTGCTGAAAGCAACAGGCGGTACGGACTTAATGGCCGATCAGATGATGACGCAAACGAACCTTTCACCGATAGGAGATGGGGGTTTCAACACTATGTTGAGCCGCAACCGATGCTTGTAGCTCCCATAGGAGCGGCTATGGACGACAGGTTCCCACTTGGAACATTCGACGAAACGCCCAACCCTACGTGGAGGCAAGCGGCTAAGCTACCACCGCAATAACGACAGCAACGAAAACGTACCGCACGAGCCCGAGGTGGGTGGTGAGGCGAAAGTGGCTCCTTGGAAGGAAGCCGAGCGAGCAATAGGCAAGCAGTTTGCCAGAGTAAAGAGAGCACATCCCGAGGACGGCAGCATGGTCCTGTCGAACGGGACTGATAAGCCAGTGAGGATGATGTGGCCGGCGCTGTCCTCCAAGAGCGAGCCGCCAACGGAGCGTGCCAGAGAGGCTCCGACCCCTGTGACGAGGTGATTGAGGTCCGGGCGGAGTACGTTAGAGAGGCAGGCGAACTCGTCGGACGTACAGACCATTGCTGCACGGAGAAGGCTTCCCGGGCTGCTTTGAGATGTGTATGAAGTGCGGCCTTGCCGGAGGCGTATTTTGCGGTTGTTAAGAACGAGGCCGAAAAGGGCAACTGCGCGAGCTGGACTGTGATTGGTTCCAGCTGCTAGGTCAACTTCTCATCATGGTCCAAGAATCGCAGGAGCTGTTATCCCTTCACGCCCATCGCGACAACCAGACCCGTCATCCTTCTGGGAAAAGGGTGGTACAGTATCGAGAGCCAGTGCCATTCGGGCGACGGCGACGTCGAGCCACTAGGACATTACTTGCTTTGGGCGCTCCAGGGATTGACACCCATCCTTTCTGCGCTCCAGCTGCGGCCTTGCGGCTGACAGCCACAGACCCTAACACCCTCTTATTGCCGGTATGCGATATCGTTCATCTCAAACGTCTCATAGGGGCCGGCCTGTTGACGGCCTGGAGCTGGCGGCGCCTCGCCGTACTGGTTCACACGGTAGCCAAGACTGCTCATGGCTGCAGGGCCATGGGAAGAATGCTCATTGACATCGCCGGACTCCCCCTGATCAGAGCGGTCCACCCTGTTGTTAAAGTCATCTCTGGTGCCGACATAACCCAAGCGGCCAACGCCCGCCCAGAACGCCCTATCCTCGCTGCGAGGGCCCCAGGCCCAGCCAGCACCAGACATGATCGGGAGGTGGTAATATCGGAAGCTGTAAATGGCGGTAAACATTCCAATCAAAAATCCGAAGAGGATATCGAAGCCGTGGTGGCGGAAGTCGAACCATCGAGAAGCCGAGATGAAGATGGCGAGGCAGAAGGGTGCAAGGACGATGACTAGGAGATATACTGGCGGGGCAGCGGCCTGCCGCCGCATGGACTGGAGCTTCGCATTGTGTTGCCTATTGCGAATCGCAGGCTGCGTCTTGACTGGTGGAAATGACGCTGGTAAGTTAGTTCCACCACTTCGCGAACGTGCCGGTTCATACGCGCCATCCTTGTGCTGTGCCAGAGAGGGGAAGGCTACGTGCGTAGAGGCTTCAGTAAAGGTCGTTCCATCGAGAACAACAAACGGAATCGTCACCGAGAACTTGCTTGCGAGAAAGAGTGAAAGGTAGATGAGACCGGCGGCTGCGGCGGCAGAATGACCGCTGGGGTAGCTTCGAAAACCGTCGTCGAGCTTGCTCTTGTCCGTTTGCTTGCATATGTCGCCAGAGTAGAGAACATTGGCAGTTGGCTGCCCGTCAAAGCCGCCGACTCGATATTTAGACCGATCCGCAAGGTCGGGTTGGCAGCGCGAAAGCAGGTCGGGTCGCGGCTTGCCACACATGTTCTTGATGCCAGAAACGAAGAAGAAGGCCGAGCCGACAGCCATGAGCAACCCGAGCCAGCCAACGTGAAGCTCCCATAACTTGAGCCTCCAGATGAGGCTTATGGGTGTCTTCTTGGGCACCGTGCCACCAGGGATGAGCAGTATGGACACGATGGAGATGATGACAACGGGGACAAGGGCAGAGAGGACGACGAGGAGCCAGGTCGGAACGGTTTCATGATCAGCGTAGGGAAATCTATACAGGATATTGCCTAGTTAGCGTGGCACATAGAATAAACGCAATGGGTCAGAGAACTCACGAGATGCCCGGGTCGTCAAGGGCAAAGGGTCGCTTGTTGGGTGTGATCCGTCCAAGGAAACCACCGGCGATGACGACGACAACAAGGATGATCCAATCAAGAGTGTACGAGGCGAGTAGACGGACTGGGAACTGCCACTTGATGACGGGCGACGACCCGGAATGGGCCATTCTTTGATATGCGGATACTCGCTACTGCGATGTCTGGTGTCGAACACAAGAGTGTCAGAGCGGCGGCGACACAACACTGAAGACGCTGTGGCAGAATGGGAGGGCCTAGGTTGTCACGCGCATATCCACTAGCATGGGGTGCCGAACTTGAGGTGGGGGCAAGTTGACGCCAATGGCGGGGGGAGGCGGAAGGATTGCCGCGTTTCTATATGTTGCTCCAGCGCTTGTGCGATGCGATGAGTTCAAGGATCGAGGCCAGTCAACAAGCATGGCGTCAGAGACGGCGGTTAGATACTGAATAGACCCCTCTCCTGGGCAGGGGAAAGTGACTTCGGAAGGCGTCCATGGCCCCTGGAGACCAGCCGGAAACCACGTCTTGGTGGAGATTAGGTTGAGTGTTCCACATGGTGCAAACATCCTGAGTTGAGCTTGACTTGTCAGCAAGTGCTGTGTTAGGGAAGCGGGCGCCGGGGGGGCGGAGCCATGGCAAGCCGCGGAAGATTCTTGGTCTCCCCGAAGCCGATCAGTCTGGGCTGTGTGAGCCATTGGGCGTTCGCTACGGCAGTCACGGCACGATTGTGGCACAGATTCTCGCTAGTCTTGCGCCACGAATAACGCCACGTTGTTCGTCGCGGCGTTAACCGTGTTCCCAGAAACTCGAAGGTGACGTATCAGCCGGCCGGTAAAAGCGGCGTTGTCACAGGGCCAGAGACTAAAGCAGTTGTATCATTATCAGACTCGTGAAGGCACGTCGCCACTGGCTATTGCCCAAGCTGGTGTCTCAGGGTCTGCCGTGGGGACGAAGCCGAAAGACGCAGATTGGCGCGCGTCAAGACGAAGCGAAACTATGGGGAAAACGTTCCAAGGTATTCCTTGCCGGATTAGGCTTGGGAAACGACCAATCAGGTGTGAGTTGACACAGAGCAAACTCGTCGGTCGAGAAGTACATTGCGGTATTTCTCCAAAAGATGGGGTGTGCCTCCGCATCCGGTGAAAAACTGAACTCGGCGACGCGGCGCCTAATGACGATTGCGTGACTGGCCGCAAAGTAGAGGCAGCGTTGCTTCACATTTTTGCTGCAACCTCATATCGCGTTCCCCAACTCGTATCGGTGCCAAGTTCCTCTTTCACCCTTCATGCGCTCTATGCACTATTTCTCACCTGTCTTTGCCCTTATTCCTCGTCAATCCATCACGTAGCCGCTGCCTTGCTGGAACTGCGGCAGAAAGGCCCCGGCGTTGCCTGGGCGATAGGCGTGGATGCGCTGGGCTTGGACCCTTTCCTCGGTACTCCACCAGTCACAACGAAATATCCACCGCAATCATGATCAGATTGCCATTCCCGCCACATGGTGTGCAGGCCAAGCGTACCCGAACCGCCGCCTTTACTGTCTTCACGCTCATCGGCCTAGCTTGGTTCTTCCGTGACCTACTCTGCACGACGTGGACACTTGCAGCGCTCCGTGTCAGATGGCGCGATGGCGCAGACCAATTCATACTGTCCAAAGCGCACGATGACTTTGACATCACCTTTCTTGACTACGACAAATATCAACTATCGGCAGCGCCGGATGAAGACCTCGTGCCGCCGATACTACATCATATCGATTTCGGCCAGCCCAGCCGCCAGTGGGATGATATTTGGGGAACGGCCGTGCAGAGTTGTATCGACCTGCACCCAGGATGGGAGACGCACACATGGACGGAGAAGAAGGCTGTGCAGTTCGTCGCCGAGAAATACCCGGACCTCCTCGAAACATGGGAGAACTATCCCTACCTGATCGAACGCGTTGACGCTCTGCGGTACATGGTGCTGTACGAGTATGGCGGTGTGGTTCTTGATATGGACCTCAAGTGCAAGAGAGCACTGGGCCCTTTGCGGCGATTTCAATTCGTGGCAGTCGAGGCGCAGCCCACGGGCTTCAGCATCGGGTTCATGATGGCTAAACGACACAACACTTTCGTCAGCGACATCTTGCGCAACCTGAATGTCTACGACCGGCAATGGCTAGGATTACCGTATCCGACCGTCATGTTCAGCACTGGTTGTCATTTTGCGTCAGTGATTCACGCGCGCCAGGCCAACCGCACAGCGCTCAAGGTGTTGCCCGCGCCCATGCATAGCCTCAACGGCCGAGTGACGACCCCCATCTTCGACCACCTGGGTAGCTCGTCTTGGCATTCTTACGACGCCCGCCTGATGACTTCACTAGGTCGTCGGACCAATCTGTTGTTTGTTTTCGTCATTGGCGTGGCCGCCACATTGTGTGTTGCCAGGCGGATGATTTTGCGATGGCTGTGTTGCCAGCCGTACGCAACAACCGTGGGCAATACCCTCTTCTCTCGATTTCTCGATGTTCTTTCGTCGGGAGAGAACTATGAATAATACGCCTGCGGTGAACTCGATTGTAAGATGGCCTCTCAGTCGGTCCGACAGCGAAGCTGACGGGGGGTTATTATCTCCGTCGGAGCGCGTCGGCTCGACAATCAGTTCCGAGCGGCTCAGCACCATGGCGGATGACTCAAGCGCTCCGTCATGAAGGGAACTTGCAGCAATTGACTAGCCGCGAGACATCGCAAATTCGTCCTCACCTAGAGTCTCGGAGCCAGACAAGTCGCCCTTCGGCCCTGTAACTGTGAAATGTGGCCTCGGCCTCAGCATGGCAGTCAAAACGGTTCGGAACGCAAACTCGGAAGCGCACTTTGTGGAATGCGGCAATGATGTCCAGCTTTGTGAGCCACTTCGGTTTCGACAGCGACCGCAACGTCTCCTCAATCAGCGGTAGCGGGTAACGATCTTTCTTGGTGATTGCGTTCAACCCGCGGTAGTCGACACAGAAGCGCAGCCCTCCACCCGGCTTGCGCACGAAGAGAACGGGTGCGGATGGCGGCGAGCTGCTCGCGCGGATGAATCCCTTTCCGAGCAACTCTGTGAGTCCTTCGAAGGACGATCAACTCTTCTCGAGACATCCCGTACAACGGTCCCCAGGGTGGCTCCTCCTTTCCATGTGCGTTCTTTTCCGAGACAATCTTGTGGTCCGAGCCGGGTCGGTGTGGTGTTCCACTCTAGCGTTACACATCGGCGGAATGCTGGTTCAGCAGGGCTGCAGGTTAATACCCTAAGACTATTACCGACTACTGGGCTAACGGAAGGTGTCTTGAAGGGTAATATCAATAGAACTTTTCAACGCATGCGCGACGTGTGGAAGGTATTGCTTGGACGACGAAGACTAGCTTCAGCTCCCGCGGGGAGCGTGGCATTCTTCGCGCGTACCCGAATCACAGGTAGCGATGATGCCAACCGGAGCAGAACGCTTCTCACTTGTTGGTTCCCCATCTCAAATCGTGTGGCTTCTTCCCCCGTGCTATACGTCCAGAAAAAGGCACAGCAACAGCCACCGAAACAGGCAAGTGATTGTGGCGGCGGGCCGATAAGGGCAAAAAACGGCCATGCTTAATCCTCGCTGGTATGAGGTCACCGCCATAGCCCTCGAAGCATATGCATGGGCGCGCGTTGATTGTGTTGCATGCGCAGCACAGTTATTAACGCATTATTAACGACCCGACATGCCAGATTAAGGAGCTCGGTCAACGGCCTTGGTGGCGATGCTAAACCAATTAGAGGTAATGCCCAAATCTGCCCTTTGACTCGTATCCGCCAAGTGCGCAAGGCCACCAAGGCAGCGCGGCTGCAGCGCGTGACTAAAGCGAACATGCGGAGGGAACACATAGCAGGCAGCTGAGCATTTGATTGCGCATGGGGGCGAATGAGACGAGTCATCGATCGGCACTTAGCTTCCAAACTGGTTACTTTACAGGCACGTACCACGGACCGCCGAGCGAATCTCGTACAGATCGTTGCCGGACATCCGCTCTGATTACTGCACGTCGCCAGTGCCGATATCTGGCGTGTGGGGTAGAGCCACGGGACATGGGAGCGGCACGGCTTTGGCCAACGTACATGATAGCAATGGGCGCGTTAGATGGTGGTTCGCGTATATTCAAGCTTGGTGCCTTGCCCGTACGCGCTTCGGAAAACTTCCGTGAAAGCATGCACCAAAACCAGTAAACTATATTATCGCGACCAAACTCTTCTTCGCTTTCAGGTCAGTTACAAGCCCACTTGTTTGTTTGGGAGGATGGACAACCCCCCTTTTTCTGCTCGAGTGCATTCAATAGTACTTCACGTCATTGAATATACGGCTGACCAGGAAAGGTACTGGTAGCAACTTGGCCCGCAGTTTATTTGCGACGGCATTAAGCTTAACTCGTGGCAGCGGGATTGGGCCGGCCCGAGACGATCCCGTCATGAGCATGAAGAGCCGAGCCTCACTTCCTAAAAGCCCCTTCTCGATGTTGCCCGTGACGGGCAGTTAGCAACTGATTAAGTGATATAATATCCTTATGGCCTTGCGGCAACTAGTCGTATGCGACTACCGGATCGTCGCTCCACCTTCATGCAGTCACCAGCTTGACGAGACGTCCCCATTGCTCCAGGTCGGCCGAAGGAGCCTGGATAGGGATATCTATCGTAGAACAATCACCCACCAGAAGTTCCTGCATCTATTCTCTTTTTGACAGGTCGGGGGGGCGCCTAGACCCCTAGGGTCGTATCACAGTCGCCAGGTGGTAAACCACTGGCCGTTTTAGGGAGGAGTCGGCGCTAATGGACGGCACTCACTGAGATGTAACCGGCGATCTACTGGCTATCTTGAACGTAGGTATCGGCCGAATGTGGAAGCTGAAACTTGCCCTAGCCTTCAAGATTAGAACAGGGAGACAATAAAAAATCACGATATCGGGGCGTCGCTGTGACGGTAGGTCAATGATGCCGAGGTATCTGGCGAATTCGTGTGGGCAAATAAATAGACGATAAATAGACGCCCTCGTCCCTCCGTTAAGATTGCTGTTTTCTTTGTTGTGTTCCTTAATCTCAATTGCCTACTCCCAGTTTGCTCTAAGTTGACTTCGCCATTGCGAATTAGCTCTATCTCACCCGTATACTTCGGTCCAGCATCCTTATATCGTGCCAAAATGCGTGCCGCCACGCTCCTTGCTCTCTTTCCCTTTACCTTCGCGAGCCCCACTAAGCGCAGCTCGCCCGCTCCGGTACTCATCCCCCAGAACGCGAAAGTCATCGATGGCAAGTATATTGTCAAGATGAGAAGCGGCGAAAACATCGCCGTGTCTGCCGCAGTGAAGAGCATCACCGCCCACGCTGACTACATATACTCTCACTCCTTCCACGGCTTTGCCGCCAGCCTGACTAAGGAGGAGGTTGAAAAGCTCCAAAATAGCCCTCACGTAGGTGCCTCTCTCGTAGGTTGATTTAAGTACTAGGGATGCTGAGTCGTTACCAGGTTGAGTTCCTCGAGAAGGATGCCGTCGTGACCATCTCAGCAACTCAGCAGAACGCCGACTGGGGCCTCGCCCGCCTATCTAGCCCAAGCCCTGGTACTACCGACTATACCTACGACGACTCTGCTGGGGAGGGCACCTGCGCCTACATCATTGACACCGGCGTCGACGTCCAGCACCCTGTTTGTTGCCCCTATCTCTCTTCCAATATGATTCCGATAGCGCTAACGTTTGCTTTAAGGACTTCGAGGGCCGCGCCAAGTTCCTCGCCAATTTCGTCGACCAGGATAACACTGACGGCAATGGCCACGGCACTCACGTCTCAGGTACCATCGGCTCTAAAACATATGGTGTTGCTAAGAAAACGTCTATCTTCGGCGTTAAAGTCCTCGACGCCAGCGGCTCGGGAACTAACTCTGGCGTAATCGCTGGCATGGAGTTCGTTGCAAAGGACGGCCCTAGCCAGAGCTGCCCTAACGGCGTCGTCGTTAATATGTCCCTAGGCGGCGGTAAGTCCGATGCTGTCAATCAGGCCGCGGCCAATATCGTAAAGGCTGGTCTCTTCCTTGCCGTAGCCGCTGGCAACGATGGCGCCGATGCTTCTGGCTACTCGCCCGCCTCCGAGCCGACAGCCTGCACGGTCGGTGCCACCGTCAGCGACGACTCCCTTGCGACTTACTCCAATATCGGCAGCCTCATTAAGGTGCTCGCCCCTGGCACAGATATCACCTCCACCTGGCCCGGCGGTTCTACCAATAAGATCAGCGGCACATCTATGGCCTCACCCCACGTCGCAGGCATCGGCGCGTATTTTCTCGGCCTTGGCCAGAAGGCAGAGGGCTTGTGCGATTATATTGCTCAGACCGCCCTCAAGGACGTCATCTCAGGCGTCCCGGGCGATACGGCGAACCTGCTCATTAACAACGGTCAGGGCGGCAACGGCTCCTTCCGCACCTTCTAAGTGGCCTGTTTTCGTGGATATGAAGGATAAATAACTGAGGGAATGCGACCTGGTACAGTATGATTCTCCGCCGCAAACATCTCATTACATAGGGATAGCTACATGAGTGTCTATATAGCTACGCCTTGTTACTGCAACGGAACCAGAATACTGCATACTACCCCAAGTAGTGACTCACCACGTCGTAATTGCCGCAACATAAAAAGGTCCCGGAGACTCTGGAGGACAAAGTCCATGGCCGGGATCCTCACTTCTCGATTCGCGGAACTGCTAGATGCATCTCCGAGGGCGGATTCTTTGCGTTCGGCATTTGCGTTCAAGATGGATTTCACCGCGAGTCTGTTCTGCGTCCACGGCTGCAATTATGGCGATGTTAGGTCAAGCTGCGGTGATTGGCGGAATGAGCCACTCAGAGTGGCCGCAATTTGCATTCTCCCGCAGATACGTCCAATTTACAAGAGCAGCGAGAGACAATAAGTACGACACTCGGCGATAATCAAAGGAAAAAGGAACTTTCTAGATCCTGGCTGTGACGCAGGGTTTCTTGAAGACTTCAGCTGTGTAGCCTACTTTATACTAGGCGAATCGCCGACACGGGGTATGGTGCGGTAGCGCGTGATAGCGGATGTACTCGGTAAATGAAGCTGACATTGGTGGCTAGTGGTCAAAGGACCTTTCACCGGACCTGGTGGTCCGCCGACTGCTTTTTGCGAGAACTTGCCACTTGGATTGCTCGAGTGGCCAGTCGCAACAAAACGCGCCTGATATTTAGACTGCCTGAATCGTTGCAACATTGCTCCTCCTTGGGGTCCATCATTAATGCATTCATGCCGGCCAGGAGTCGTGCAGCGAGAGACCCAAATGTTGAACGAAGTAAATGCCGGGCAATGTGAGCGACTTGACTTTCCTTCATTTTGAAGGCGATCCAGACACTGATTTTTTGCTCATCCAAACGCTTCGCAATTTTTTTTCTGTTGATCCTTACCGATATGTGCTTCTGCTCGTGTGGCCATGTTTCAGCAGCCAAGGCCGCATAACCGTGCGCCGCGTATTGCCTGAATGAAAACTGGACGGCGATGACAGCGCAATTATTGGCTCCGAAGAACCGATTGCAGGTCCATGACCTCGGTCGCGTGCTGTTGCCACACCAGCTTCTCCATGGCAGAAATGCACTTGGTCGACACCTTCTCATTGGCATTTAATTTGTACGTCATCAGGCAAGGCACACGGCGTCGTAAGTGTTGACCAGTACCCACCATAGTGCATCCGCAGCGGCTTCTCTCAGGAAGCAACCAGAAAGGGACCTGGACTGGAGCAGCAGCTCCGACACCCACTTCTTCAGGGCTAATAGAGCGCCACTGAGGCACTCCCGGCAGTGCCACGGACCAACGTCCGTCAATGTAAAATGGAGCATACCAGCCCTGGGGCGATTTGGGTGTCGAGGGCGTCGCGCGAGCATTTGAGACTCTCACGGAGTTTGAGGGCTGCTGCGTTGCTTACTAGCACATACCTCGATTTGTAGTCAATGAAGAAGCCGGGCAGAGTTGACAAATGCAATTCGCCTCATCCAACGCTCTGTCCCGTGGGTAGTGGCAATTTCTCCTCCGTTGGACTTATACCAAGCCACGTGGAGACTTGTCTCCGCCATGACACGCAGATGCCGGGCGGAGGTGTGTTGGTCGCAAGGTCATCATGTGCGACGCCTCGTGTCACCGATCAAGCGCTGGTCAAACCCTGGTTATGGCAGCCATCTCTCAGTCCAAGCTGACCGGCATCATCCAATGACAAGCTCATGACGCGCACTGCACCAAAGTGCAACCGTCATCTGCTGCGGCGTTATGGGGAGAATCGTCCGATCGGTGCGTCATATCCGTCCATGACGCACAACGTTTCCTTCATACTGCTGAAACGGGCGTTGGTCAGTCGGTTGCCCTTCGTCGCATGGCACATTCGCCCGAAACGTGTCTGTCGATACCGAGAACGGGGAGGAAGTTCGACGGAATCGATCTTGGGAGAGTCGGGCAAGTGGCGGGGCCATCGGGCGGTTTGCATGGGCGACGTCCGGATGTCTCTATGCGGCGACACTCGGTCAAAATGAGTAGGCGTGCTCCGTTCAACGGGAAGCTTGACGCGCGCTGGATGAGGTTGGCGACGACAGGATCGTGAGCGTGTCTTGACGCGGATGGTCGAGGGAGTCGCGGCACCGTTTGCGACGCGAGGACCAATGGCGTGCAGCCATGCAGGGTGACTGCCAGCCGCCCCTCCTCTTGCGCTGCAGAGATGCCTGGCTCACCCAAGTCGCGCGACCACACCAGCATGGCTCACCCGGCTCACCCACAGTCGCGCGATTGGCCGGAGCGCCGGAGCTACTGGCGCATCTGCCACAGAGTCCCTTCTGCGTCCAGCACCATGCTCCTGTTCGCATTGTCGACCTTCACTGGAAAAAGCTGATCCCGCATGACTCGCGCGCCGACGACGGCTGTCTTCTGCGCAGCCTCCCGGACCTGTCTCAATTCGTTTTCGTCTCTGCAGATTATCTTGATGCGCTCCGCAGCCCGAGCGTCCTTCAGGACCGCCGCGCACCGCCACGTTGCTAGGCCGTCCCTGGCCCTCATCTCCAATTCTATGGCCTGTCGGACGGCCCCGACCTGGGCCTGGTCGCGATTCGCTTCCTCTACTCGCGACGTGTCGATTGTGCAATAGAGCTCGCTGGCAGGAGAGGTGTTGAACGCTCTGTCGGGCGCAGCCGTTGCGGGCTGGGACGTCCGTTGCGACTGCACTACGGCGGCGAACAATCGCGACGGGGTAGCGGGTGCCCGAGCATCGACGGCGTCGAGTTTGTCGTGCAGTGCCTTGAGCTCCTCGCCCATCTGCTGCTTTGTGTCCTCCAGCGCGAGCGTCAGGACCCGGATGAGTTATTGCTGTTCCTGGGACGTCTCTTTCAAGTCTTGGATCGTTTCTTGCTGGGTGCGGATAACGTCGCTCTGCCCACGGATCATTTGCTTGAACCCCGCGAACTCTGCGCGGTAGTCACCTAGAAGCTGCGAGACGTGATGGAGCGCCGCCGCCGCGTCGCCGCCGTTGCTGCCTCCGTCCTTCGCGCCGGTCCCACGGCCGGCCTCCGTCGCCGGCGCCGTTTTCCCGGTCGTTCTCGTCGCGTATCGGCCATTTCGACTCGATTCATTTCCCGAATCGTCAATTTTCCGCTTCACGACCCGACGCCCCGTTGGCGTCAGGCTACTCCGCGGCCCCACCACGGTCCCCGCACTTGCGGCCACGCTCATCTTGCGAACTAGCCCTCAACAACACGCTCCTTTCTGATTGAGATAGAAATAGAAGTCTTTGAGAATTTCTCTGAGCCTCCAGGACGCGTTCAGGACGCGTTGGAGATGGTGGGGCTGCAGGGAATCTGTCGCTGGCGCCTCAGGCAGCAAGCCAGCTTTGGCCGCTAACCTAGTGTCAGACAATTGGCTCCACAGGGATCACAGTTGGCATCGTAGTAATTGATGAGAATTATCTTGATTTTAAGAGCTATCTGTGAGCGCACGACAGTGCGCTGCTCTTTATACACAAAGGAAAGATTTGCTTTGTGGTGCAGAGTCCCTGTAATTGAAGCTGGTGTTGCGATATATGCAACCAGTGTTTGAGCTTTGACCTCAACGAAGTCAAAGCACGGCGCGTGCAGGCGCTCGTCCATAATACACGGATTATAGCATCGGATTCCGCGGACAAATATTCTGAGTGCAGACGTTATGCAACATGAGGCTTGCTCTATGTGCGACACTTTCCCTCTCGGGCTGCGTCTCGCAGCAAGAGTGGAGGGCCTCAGCCGGCGTGAGGGGCGCTGCAACGCCCGTCACTCGGCCGTGACCAGAATTGAAGAAACTCAAAACACAAAACAAAAGGAAAGAGAGAGAGTGCTGGTCGCCTAATGGCGCGGACAGATCCTTTGGAAGAAGGAGCTCTCCGACGTCATTTCGACGAAGGCTTTGAAGCCCTTGCCTACTGCACGACGTATCGCTTCGGCCGGTGAGGGAGCAAGCTTCATCCGGAGCCGTGGCGGTACTTTCCTGCAGTAGAACGGGTGCTCTGGTGCTTTGCGTCGTCCGCATGAGCATTCAGGACGCGCGTCGTCATGATTGAAACGCTCGTGGTAGTCGGCGAAGTCTCCATACCGCAGGATTTCTGCAGTATGCAAAACGGCGCCCCACGCTACCCTGTGCCTCGGTTCATTCAAGGTGCACGCTCTGGTATCACGTGTGGGACTCGAAAGGCGCAGTCCCCATAGGAATCTGATACTCGGGTGACCGTTGCCCTGCCATAAAGCGAACTATCGTCCACTGAAACCGTTCAAAGGGGCCCATGCCTTCATGCGTCGTCCAGAGGCCCCCGATTCACGATGGTTTCGAGGATCTCCTGTTTCTTAGGGACCGGAATTACGCATGCCGCCGATGGACCGCTGTTGCACTCCCGAACGGTGGGTCTCCTCCGTGAATAGGTGGTTCCAAATCGAAATCTTGTGACGCTAGCCGCCGCCGGTCAATGGGTTCGGCTATGAGATGCCTTCTGCTAATCCCGGGCTTCCAAGGCAGTGGGGTGCAAAGGCTGCATGCAGTCCGAGGCCCGTGCGGGTGCCCCATCAGCAAGCGGGCGCAACCTATCCAACTCAAGAACCTTCGGGCGGGACAATGAAGTGCCACAGCGATCCAATTGCGCTCGCAGCTAGAATTTAGCGGACGAGCAGTGCAACGAACCTTGTTCATTCTCTTGTTCAGCACTCGGCCGCTTGCGATGGCTGTTTGATGAATTAGACGGCTGTGTGGAAGGAAGGGGCAAAGCTGGTCTGACAGAACGTTTACTTGAACTGGCTAATACATTGAGGCCTTGTAGCGGTCGACGTCCGTCACCGCCAAGCTATCTTCTGAAGCGTCGCCGTTCTTTAGCCCAGGCTGGGACAGGATTGAAGCGTCGCCGCCGTAGGCGTGGCGATGACCAAACGTCGCATCGACTTAATAAGTACTGGCGGCTCAGGCCGGGCCTGAGTCGCCGCAACTTGCTCATCCGGGAAGGCGTCGGGCGCCCTGCTAGTGGGCGGCTGCGGTGTCCGAGGTGGGCCTGTGGGTTAGAGGGCACCGCCCCTGGGGTCGGCCCGTATGACAGTGCGGTCCCAAGATTAGTCTAGGGAGTTATGACCTCCGCCGAACAACACGACATCGCACACCAGTCTCTTCTCTTGCCTCAGGCCTGGAGTCTGTCAGGTAATGCACTATCATCGGGATGCCAGGCCGTCACACGCGGCCGCCTCGAGAATCCTCGTGTTCATATCGCCACGACGAAGGGGGAACGGCAGTACCTCCCAGGTCCCGTGCCTTTAGGGCACGCCTAACGAACCCGAAATGGCAAAGAAACCATTTCCAAGGCAGGCCGGCCCCGTGCCCCATTCTAGGCGGATGAGAAGACAAGCAGGTCACATCATAACGCAGAGGGCCGCCCGTGACTCGGCGATACGGTAGATGACATCCCGGAGTCACGTACAGCGTGTGAGAAAGACGAGCCGCGATGCTCCCAAAACAAGTACTCGAGGCGCAATGAAATTCTACGAGTAAAGTCAGGCTACTCACCGGGTTCAAGGAGAGATTACGGTCGCCAGAGCAGGGATTCCTAGCCAGCGTAATGCTTCAATGATCTGCGCATGCACTCCTCGTGACATGGTGGCCTCCCACGGCAGCCCTCACTTGCAGGCACGTACTGGCCGGACAACAAGCTGTTGCTTGCTCAAGCACTCGCGGAATGCACTTCTCAGTCTTGTTTAAGCTTGCCGCATACTTCATGTTTACCTCCGCCACCATACCGGGGAACGAGGTAAGCTTGGTAAGTACGCCATTGCACACGCCCACTGGTGCTCCCAGCCTGACTGGCCAGTTTCTCACCGCGACCTTTGAGCCCCAATAGCCTCCCACCCGGCGACTCTGCCTTCCACAGCCTACAGATTTTTGGGCTGAGACACCCCGAACCCTCAACGCATAATCTTAATGCCACCGCTCAGAGCGGCCACCAAAGGCGCCCCGACCGACCTTTGCAACACCTGTTGCCCAGAGACAAGGCTTCTTCTTCAGCAGCTTCGGCTGCCGCCCGTGCCATCGCCGGGTGTCGCACATAGAGCAAGCCTCATGTTGCATAACGTCTGCACTCAGAATATTTGTCCGCGGAATCCGATGCTATAATCCGTGTATTATGGACGAGCGCCTGCACGCGCCGTGCTTTGACTTCGTTGAGGTCAAAGCTCAAACACTGGTTGCATATATCGCAACACCAGCTTCAATTACAGGGACTCTGCACCACAAAGCAAATCTTTCCTTTGTGTATAAAGAGCAGCGCACTGTCGTGCGCTCACAGATAGCTCTTAAAATCAAGATAATTCTCATCAATTACTACGATGCCAACTGTGATCCCTGTGGAGCCAATTGTCTGACAGATGGCGCCTGACCGACCATCCTGGGAACAGAACATCACGTGATCAGGCACGTGATGGTCGGGAGCGCAGGATCACCAGGACCACCGTGATCCAAGCACTCCACGATCCAAGAAGCGTAGGATCACCCGGGGCGACGCGCTCCCCGTGATCCAACGCTCCAAGGCAAGATCAATGAAGAGCTGGACGGATATATATACTACAGTCACTACCCCAGAGTAGATAGTCAGATCTTCAGTGATCAATCTAAGCATTCATCTGTATGAGAAGTCTTCAAAGCTCCCCGACGGACTCTTGCGAACCGCTTACTGCCCGACAAACCAAGCTTACCTCCTAAGCAACAGCAAACCTTAAGACCCTATCTAGGCTCCGTTACACCTGGTACGTGAAACGATCTATGGATCCTCATCGTCTGATGTAGGTCGATTCGACGTGTTACCTGTTGAAAATCAGTCGCAATTGACGCGAATGACGGTATAATTCCTGGCCGCTATTGTGCTATTACGTATTCAAATAACCCGCCAACCATCAGATTCGCATGTTGATGAACTGATATGGTGGGCGCTTGGGCCGTGTTGAGTGCTTGGCCCAGTCACCAGGCAATCTCCAAGTAGGAAAAAATACCAGTTGTATGATACGCATCGACTCAGCCGCGTAGCACGTATTCCTTGAGCCTTTTCGTGATTCTCTTTTTGTAATCACTAGGGCCCCACGCTTCTATGCCGCTCATGGCAGCAGCAGGATCTGCTTCTCCACCGAGATGGAAGCTTCCCAGTCAAGCCAGTCAAGACACGCGTAGTACAGAACTGAGTTTATATGGCTTCGGATCCTTTTGGGCTTTTGCAAAGCCTCAGCGTTGTGAAGATCCCGAAGCGTAGCGAGGGACCTACGGCTACATGATGGACATTATCTGCTGCCGAAGCGCTGAAAAAAAATGACCGGTGACGCTCTGCATCCTGACGTCAATAGGCCAAGGGCGACGAACAAACAAGGGCTTGGAGCCTTTGCGTGGAGGAACTGATTATTGCGTGCGCGAAATTGTCCTTGTTTGCGGTCGAAAGTCTCCAAGCGCGACGGATTCGTATCATGGATGCAGGCAATGGGTTGTAGGCCAGGGGTTGGCCCTGATAGGAAAGAGGGGGATTTTGGAAAAGGGGAGGGGGATGCACTCCTACGCTGATTACGCTGTGTCGACATCCAAGCGCGATTCTTACTGCGGCAGAGCATCAGTAAACTGAGCAGAGTGCCAGGTTGATGCGAAAAGGAGACGCGCTTCAATGCCCAAACGTGAACCACAGGCATGGAACCGGAGAAGCTTTTTGATGACCGTCGTGAAGGGCTACCTTGGCATGATACTGCTATGGCGCTCAGCTAAGGCATGTATAAAATTGACCCACGACGGGTAGTGTATCCTTGCCAACACTGGCCACAGCAAGCCCATCTAAATTTTTCCAAGTGTGTTTCTTGATTGGCTTCTTCTTTCGTCTTTATTGTTTTTCTGGCAAATCCTCGGTAAGTCCCTCATTGTGGCCCATCCATGAAACCTCGTCCTTGGTTTTATCCTCACTGCCCTGCTTCCCGCTGTGTCTATGCACTCTTCTCTCGCGTGCTTCAAGCAGCTGGTTGGCAAAGCGCTGCGTGAAAACCTCAGTATGCCTCACATCTGGAGAGGGATTTCACAACCATTTGTGATCGTTTTGATTCCTCTGATTCTTGTCTTCTTCTGCATTCGGCATTTCAACGACACGGAGAACTTCACGCTTAAGGGCCAGCTCTCGACGTTAATTAACGTTCTCGACGCGTGCCCTCTTGGCGTCAGCACAGTCGCAGATGTCTCTGCGCATGGCGTCGGAGTGATACCAAACATCATCCACCAAGTATGGAAATCAAACAATGTCAGCACATATTCATCGGTCCTCGGTGTGTCCCGCGACGCCTGGACCGCCATGTTCGAGCCTCTCAACTATACGATCAAGCTATGGACCGATGAAGATATTTTCCAACTCGTTCAAACAAAGTACACCAGGCTACGCTCAGCCTACCAAAGTTATCCGCACAATATCCAGCGCGCTGACGTTGCTCGACTGCTTGTGGTCCATGCTGAGGGAGGCATATACGCGGACTTGGACGTCTATCCGAAATCAAGCGAACAGTTACGCCGGCTCCAGCAACTTGGACTGCAAGCCATTTTCGCGGCCACAAGCGGCACCGCTGGTCTCAGCAACCACTTTTTCATGGGAGCTCGCGGCTCTCCCTTTTTGCAGTGGGCGATGTACGAGGCCAAACATCGAGGTGGACAGGCGTCAGGACGCATCCTATTGCCATATCTCCAGGTGTTCTGGGCTACGGGTCCGTTAATGCTGACTGCGGCGTTCCGCAAGTATGCCTGGTTGTGCGGCACCTTGCATTACGAGCTCGGCTTGCTGGACGACAGATGTTCGCATGCCATGATACGGCACGCGGCTGGGCGGTCGTGGCACGGGTCGGATGGGTATGCCTTGAATTATATTGTGGACAACTTCAGACTGGACGTGCTCCTCATGGTCGTTGCCTTGCCCATACCATTACTGGCTCTGTTGTGTGTTGTCGGTAGGCGTTATTACAAGTCTGTGGCAATGGGTGTATTCCGGTCTGCATACCGGGATATGCATCAAATTTAATACCGTTGACAAGGAGACGCATGAGCTTCCTATCTGCGCTGCAGTCCATGGCATAGCCTTCAAGGGTTTGAAAACCCTTTCTGGATGTGTTGGTGTACGAAACAAGTTTGGGGCATCAACGCAAAGTCTTGTATACTGTTGGGTAGCACTTTGCACATCCCACATGAGTACATGAGATACCACGCAAATCTTCTCGAAACAAGCGATATTGTGAGAAGCTTCGAGGGTTGTTCTACTGTGAGCCCCATCTCCGATTACCCAAGGCTCCTACAGGTAGCTGTTTGTCGGCCAACCTGTGCTTACCAGGGAGGTTCTCTTGCTGCAGCTGGTTGCGGCACGGAGTAACCAGAGAAATCATCAATTTGAAACCCCGTCTCTCAATTGACGCTCAGTATTGACATTTTTATGGCGAGGAAACGTTCGTTGGGCTCGCAGCAAGCGGATCAAGCTTCTGAAACGGGAAGGCCTAGGGGATGTGCTTAAGCCTCCCACGGATGGAAAGAAAAGGGTTTAGCGGTGCAAACACCACACTGCTCTGTGCCGTACCCGTACGGCAGTGTCTCTCGCCGTCGCCCCGTCGATGCCCGCTTCGGCTGCGCCACAACGTTGCAGCATGTGCTGACAGTCAGCTGGCGCCGCGCCCGGCAGCTAACCGGAACGCAGCCGTTGGACGTTGGAAACAGCGTCGCCACTACCGCGTCGCCGTTTTGAATGAGGCTTCATGGTACTTTGTCGGGCCTGTTTTTGGTTTAGTGGTGGGCGCCGCCGGCCGGCAATTAGAGTTTAAGCTCGAGAGCCAGTACTACGTCAGTCTGCATTTCGGGCCACTACTGCGAGGCCCAGTGGCAATACGAGAGTGGGCTAACTTCCGCGACAATCAGGCAATGACACGTGAGCTTGAACACCCCGACAGCGACTACGGACAGGTAAGGACAATGAGGTGGATGCACAGGCGCTTCCTTGCGGCAATCGGTCTCGGCCGCCTTTGACCCTCGACGTCCATCGGCGGGAGACTGGTTCACAAGGGACTATGACTCGGGTGGTGGAGATGCCGCAGCCCGTACCTAGCAGTGTCAAGGCCAGGCACAGAATCACCTGGCTGGAGCTACACGAAGCTATCGAATCTGATGTATCACACTCGTCTCTCAGGGGAGTCTGCCGATATTAAGCCGCGCGTAGTATAAGTACTTTCAGAAGCTATACTCCAAGATCAGCGTGTAAGATCCCATGTTCTAATATGCACCTCCGCAATGGCACTTTCACTCTATCTCTTTCTTTTGTTCGCAATGTCGATCCTTGCAACGAGCTGCGGCCCGACTCAGTGCGACTTCAAGTGGCAGCCGCGAAATAGCTGTCGCTGTCCCTTGGACCCAAGCAACAACACGGCTCCAGCAAACTGGCTGTACAGCAGCGAACTAAACTCGGACGCCCTGAGCATCCTGGGACGACCTGATACTCCAGGTGCACAAATCATCTACAACTGGAGGCATCTTGAGCCACAAGAGGGACAATACAACTTCTCACAGATTGAGGAAGATCTTCGCAAAGTCCAGTCTATGGGAAAGAAGCTTTGGATCTGGCTCCTGTTTCAGAGCTATAGCCCGTCCATCAACCCAACCCCCGGGTATCTGAATCATTCCGACTACAGCAATGGAAGCGTGGCGACATTGGGCCGACCGGGCGAGCCGGGGGGCTGGGTGGCTATGCAGTGGAATGTGCGCGTTCGTGCCCGATTTCAGCTGCTTTTGACAAGACTCGCGAAACAATTCGACGATCGAATCCATGGCATCAATCTGGATGAGACATCCGTACAGCTCAGCCCAGCGGTGCAGAGAGAGTCTGGTTTCAGCGCCAAGGCTTGGTACGAAGCCGAACAAGAAAATATCCTGCATGCAAGGCGGGTATTCAGCTCGTCTCATGTGGTCCAATTCGTCAACTTCTGGCCCGGAGAACTGTACTGCAACGATGCCGTCATGAACGATGCTTTCGCCTTTTACGCAAGGCAATTGCTAGACAGGCCGAACCACTTTGCTACGGAGGCCGCGTTACGGACGCCGTGTGGCTGGACTTCCAAATCGGGCAGTCTTGCATTCCATCATCGCGGCATTCAGCCACAAGGTAGTGTATCAGTTCCTGGTTCTGGGGCGCTTTGGTTGGCAAAACATAGCCCTTCAGTATCGTGCCCAGGCGAAGACAACAGCAGATTCATATTTGGCTAGCACTTGAGGGTCGCCCTCAGCGGGCATACCATCTCCTCTGGAACTGACCCAAATTACACTCGCACAATAATGCACTCCTTGCGGGTTTCCTCGCCACCAGGGCTAGTCAAGGCTGACGGTGCTGGTGTTGCAGGTCGCTTCCGGGCACTTTGCCGTCTGCGCTTCGGTAGAGCGTCCTGCTCCTCTTCATCTGAGATGGTCTCCCATTCTGACCGTCGCCTCCGTATGCTGGGTTGCCTTCTGCAGCCAGCTTGTTGCACACCTATCTGCTTGCCCGACCCAAGGATAGCTGACTTGCGAGTTCGCTTTCTGCCCTTACCAGCCTTGTCCACTGCTGGTCGACTACAGCTGGACGGCCGAATGTTCATGTCCTCAGGGACAGGCTGTGTCGTATTTTTCGGCCGACCACGGAGGCATGCTGCAATCTTAGGGTCGAGGATCCGACGATAGGGATTGCATGATGTTGGTTCCCTGAGATGCCACCGAGGGTGAACATCCCATTTCGTTAAGGCCGTGCCCGCTGCTAATTTGTTGTAGATTGTATGGCAGCAGGGAATCCCCAATTGCCACGAGACGGAACAATCCCCGCTACATTCTTCGATTGGCTCCGGCCAAGGTCGTGATCTGCTTGGTATCGATTTCAATGCGCGCCGATGTTGTTTGGTAATAAGCCTGAGCCCCGGCTCTGACATGACTGTGCGCAGCTCTCCCAGATACTCTGAGCCAGGACCTGAATATGTGCCAGAAGTAAGCACCTCGTCCTGCGCACAGGCATCGATAAAATCTCGCTCTTGATCAGTGAGCATGGCCTCAACAGCCTCAAACAGAGAGTACAGGTTGCTCATCCCATTGAGCAGGTAGCTCTTGACGTTGTTGTTACTGGCCTCGGTACCAGACGTCACACGAACCCCGAAATTGCGGTGTTTCTTGATGAAGCATTGTGCCCACTGTGCTCTTATGGGCAGGTATGTCCTGTAAAGGTACATGAGGATGGCTTGCTGGTCATTGAACTCGTCACACAGCTTGGCCCATGCCTTCTCGTGTTCTTCTTTTGTCTCGGCAAACACAACGAACTTCCACAGTTCGAGGACGCCGCGATAGTTGTGCGGCACAGGTGCAGAGAGGTTACCCTGGGCCAGCGGGTTGTCTTGTCGCTCCACTGCGAGCAAAGCTTCCACATCCCTCGGCGTCAACGCCAGGTGAGCCTGCTTGCCGCAAGAGCTACCACCTCCGTCGCTCTCCTCACTTTCTTTGGCGTTCTTCCACTTGCGCTTCGCATTAAGGAGGACGTTTGCGTTGACATGGTGGATACAAAGCTGTTGTTGGCTATCGGGAAACTGGTTGTCTAGAGCTTCCCTCATCGCCTGATCGTAGTCCGTGATTACGACATCGGGTAGCGGAACTCCATGCCTCTCGGTCAGTTCCCTGACCGCTTCCGTGAGGAACTGAAACCCTTCACGTCTCTCGTTATCGATCAAGCCGAACGCCGCATTATAGACGGATCTCAGGCAGGTTTGCCCCGTAACCTGGAAGAGCGGTAGTTTGAAGCGGTTTGTATTGTATGTGTTGTCGAAACTCATAATTTCCGGAAAGCGTTTCCACATTCGGAGACAGTATGGGAAGGTCCAGACCAGGCCAACAAGGCGGCCAGGCTCTGTCGTTGACCACTTCACGATATATGGAACGCCCCTCTCATCAAACAGTCTGATCAAGGCAGCGGTCGGACCCAAATCGCCAAGTTTTTCGCGACGCAAGAGTGCCCTAGCGTTGTATATATCCTTTCTTGTGTAGTGCGTTCCGAGATGCTTTTGCTGAACGATGCCACGGACATCGCGTGCCCTGATTCCGACTCGTCGGCTTGTCGCTTCAATTGTTGCCTTGACGGAATCAGTAAGTCTCCGATGGATTGGATGCGCTGAGAGACTCATGCTACGGTCGTGGTTGTGTTGACTGTGCTGAGGGTCGGCAAACGCCCGCAGTGTCCACATGTAGCCGTTCTGTTCGAGGGCCTCGGCGACGACCTTCCACTTGCACCCGCACTTGCGCGACCGCCTTTTGCGGAGACCTGCACCACTTGATGTACAAGGCTCGCCGTAGCGATCGCATTGGAACACGTATCTGGTCTTCCGCATTCGACTGCCGGAACCGTTGCGTCTGACAACACCAAACCCGTTTTCCCTCGCAAATTCGTTGACGTGCGATTGCAGGGCATCGGCCGATACCATGGCAGGGCTAGGAATTGGCGGGTTGCGGATATGCACCGAGGCACAGTGACTGTCAGATGCGGTGTCTGATAGACCGTCCCATTCTTCGTACTCCTCTTGCGTTGGTGGCGGCAGGGGCGGCAGCGCCGATACTGACGTCGGCAATAAGATCGCTGATGTTGGGTATTGGCGGCCTGGAGCAGCTCGAGGCGCGGCAAGCGTTGGGCAAAACTGAGCCAATTCCAGAGCTAGTGAAGTGTCGAACTTGGTCTGTTCGTGAGCGAAATGTAGAGCGGACCGGAAGGTGACCGTGGTTCTCGTGCGTTGCTCGATACCGTCTGAATATGCTTGTTCGTGCAAGCGCTCTCTCTCAAGCTTGTCCGGCCCTGGAACTACAGGGGTGAACAGCCTCCGCGTTTCGCGACCGCGGAAGCAGTCGTCCAGGAAGATTCGTGACCGCCGTAATTCCCAATAGGGCTCGTCGACTCCGTGATTGCCGTGTGGCTTAGGAAGGCTGCTGAAATAGTTCTCCGGCCATGTCGCAAATAGGTTGTACAAGGCGTTGTCGTCGCCATCGCCGTAGTGAAGCTCGGGGTCAAAGACAGCATCGGGTGCGAGAGCAGTAACGGTCATGTCGTGACTTGGATTGCGGAAGGCTGAAGTGGATTTCGTCTAGGAAAGAGACCTCGTATGGCGAGTGCTTGTGTCGACTTCCGTGCATCTGTGTACGATGACGATAGAATGCAGTCGATAATATTTCGATTGCTTGAGCGACTCCCTACAGATGGCTGCGAAGAAGCACCGGAACGAAAGCCACCCATCTGGTGGAAGGGGCAGCGCGCGTGGCATGGAATGCAGGACTGCCCGATTTGGAAGTTCAGCCACACGGCGTCCGTAACGCGGCCTCCGTAGCAAAGTGGTTCGGCCGGTCTAGCAATTGCCTCCGCTAATAGAGCCACGACACCCCTAACCCTACGGTTCCGCCGGCCACTTTGTGTGGGCAAATCTGGGGTTTTTTTCCTTTTCAGGTGAGAGCGCCGCCTGGCCGTGCGGCATGGCCCGGATGCCCCAGTCCTCCAACATGCGTGGAGGTTCCTTCACATACCCCCCCGTCTGTTGTTAGCTTCGGCGGTGGACACGGTGAGGCGACATAAGGACGATTGAAGTCATGTGCCATAGTGGCCACGACGTTGACCCACCAGAAGCAAGCTGAAGGTCAGGACGGTCAATGCTGCTTTGCTCTGTGGATCTGGCCGATGCGATGCTGTTGGCACGAACAGAGTAGCCAAGGAGTGGTTCAGGTACTTCTTTCCCGGCGAGCGGCCCAACTCCCACCTCGGCGGAGCATTTCGACTTTTCAGCTTCATCTCTCAGTGGCCTATGTGACGATAGCTTCCAATATCCTGGTAACCTCCGCATTTGGGTCGCTCTCACCATGAAAGCGATATACCTGATTGCCCTAATGTCAGCCGCTACAACCAATCCCATCGGCCCCCTCGAAGAGGATGTGCAGAACGTCGAGCAAAGACGTCAGTAGCACCGGCCATGCGTGTCCAGAGTTCAATGACCTCAAAGCTGACCCCATCTGGTAGGACCCCTAACGGACAAGAATTTTGGTAACCTCCACGTCTATGTTCAGCACGCCGCCGCCGCGTATTGCAACGTGGGCAAGAGGACGGGCGATCTCATCAAATGTAAGGGCAGTTGCCCTGGCATTAAGAGTGACAGAGTAACGATCTCTGCCTCCTTCCTGTGAGTTTATCCAATCTCGGTGTGCGCTGGTTACAACTGAAACCCTCAGTGGATCCTGGACCGGCATCGGTGGTTACGTCGCTCTCGACCATGCCCGCCGCGAAATCGTCCTCGTCTTCCGCGGCAACAACAACATCCGCAACTTCATCACCGACATTCTCTTCGTCTGGCAGGACTGCGACCTTGTCCACGAATGCAAGGTGCACTCCGGTTTTGCGAAGGCCTGGGAAGAAATATCTGACGCCGCCACCCGAGCTATCAGCGTCGCTCGTTGCTCCCACCGTAAATACAAGATCGTCATCACCGGCCACTCGCTTGGCGGCGCTGTCGCCACCCTCGCATTCGCCTACCTCCGCCGCAGGGGCTTCGCAGCGGATCTGTACACCTTTGGCGCCCCGCGCGTAGGTAATGACCATTTCTCCAACTGGATGACCAGCCGGCCTGGTGGCCAATGGCGCGTTACTCACCGTAATGACCCTATCCCCCCGTCTGCCTCCCATCTTCGTCGCTACCGCCACATATCCCCTGAGTATTTGCTCACGGGTAGCTTTGTATGGAAAAATGACTCACTCGTCGACGAGGTGCGGCGTTGTGGCGGCATTGCGAACACGGCCTGCAATGGCGGCACATTTGGCCTCAATTTAATCTCCCACCTCCACTAGCTTGGTGAGACAGCTGGATGCGCCCCATTTCCGCTTAGTTGGAAACGTGATAGCTAAGACGTTTCCAATGAGGAACTTGAGCGTCGCCTAAAGGAGTGGAGCCAGAAAGACCAGGACTATGTCAAGAAGAATCGTCGGTAAAGGCGATCGATGCGCTATGGGGAACTTTCCGCGCCACCGACGCTTGGGAGCTCTCGAGATCCAGTTTTTGGGTTGGGCCACATGCAACTTCGCTCCACGTGTCACAGAGACAATAGAAGAAAGAGACGGTACATGTTGTCCACATAGCTATCGTGCATTACCCTATCCTTGACTCGTCTTGATTTTAGCCTACAAGTTACCAGTTGCATTGAGCTGTATTCAAAGTTTATCTCCTCGGTGGTACGAAGTGCTCAACTACGTCTGCGGTCAGGAGGTTTCTGTACTCCTTTCCGCTTTCGTTTAGCGAGAGTGACATGTCTTCTTGGCCGACTGTTGCCCCTCAGCGCGCGGGTCAGGCAAGGGCAATTGACGAGGGCCCGGGCTTACATGGGCGTCGATGCCCGACGCTGGACTAGGCATGTAATACTAAGCTGAAGGTACTGTGACCAGGAACGCCCCGGCCCTTTGCAGACGCAAGCAGTTGGTCCATGCGTGTATATTGGGGGTAGGAGATTGCGGCTCACTCGCCCAAATGTCAATCTAGTCGCTCTATGGCTGACGGAGACATACATGGCCAGCTTGGCATCCGGGACGAGCCTGGTGTGACACGAGTTAGGTTAAGTACTTTTTTTGTAGCAGAATCGTGCCCTCCCAGCACGGGCTCTGGAGTAGGCCACTGCGCCACTCATACACTTCAAATTAGCCCGGGTGACTTATTACCGGACCCAGAAACTCGAAAGACAGGTATCAAGTACCGTTTTGCTTTGGCCGTGCTCCCGGCAGTCTTTCTAACTTTTGAATCGTCAGCCAGAGTCGGCAGCTGAGCACATCCTGTTGCCGTCGACAGGGCGCAGTCACCTGTCGCCGCTTTTGCGGCCGTGCTGAACAGACGCAGCAGGCTAGTTTGGTCCTCACTCTCGGACACAGAGATTCACGGTCTTGATCCATATACAGCTGGCTTCGCAAAGACATCACACGCAGCCTGAACCAGAGACAATTCGTGACTTGTATAAAATCGATTGGCTCGGCAGCAGGGGTCCGTACATCAGAGGCTGTGCCGCGCCGCATTCGCCCACCTCCTACCCAGTCCTACCAATAAATCGATCCGCAAAATGCTTGTCTGTCAAATTGCTTGCGCATTTCTTGTGACTCGACGACCCGTCCAGGACAGGGAACATCTTGACGAGCACGAGCCGTACGGCAGGGAGACATGCGCATACAATGCCAAGGCAAACCTCTACTGTTGACCATCGCGAGAGTTCATAAAAGCTCATAGTGATGTTTGTTGTCGATGTAAATGTGGCAATAGCCCGTAGTCGCACAATGCTCACGGTGGTGACACTAGAAGTTCGGTCAGCTCCACGGCGTGCTATACGAGCAAGCGTAAACAGAGTCACTCACAACGTGCCTAGACAGAACATAATGGCAACGCCAATCTTCTTTTTCCCGTTGAGTTGCAGCCTCCGCAACTGCGAGAGAGGAATAGACAGAATCCATATGTCAAGCACAATATTCGAAATTGCGTTGGACCAGCCAATACCGTCAGGGGAGGCGCACTGTCCCGTCTGCAGGCCATCCCATTGCGTCCAGAAATGAGAAATCGGCTGGCACTGAAAGATGCCGACAAGCACGAATGCTGTACCCCAAGCGCCAGTGATGGTGAATGTTGCCCAGAGCAGGCGCTGCACGTTGCTCGAAGGAAATGTCCGTATGTAGAAGGAGATGATGGATAGCTTTGTTAGTGTAGTATCCAGGAAGTACAAGCAGATATCGATCCAGAAGTATTTTATAGAAGCGGAAATTTTGTGTGGTGGTAAATTCCAGATGTCCTGACCAAGGCCGTTAACTGTCGTTCCGAATACGTTGACGAAAATGGCTGGCGCAGTTGCTACGGCCGACGCAAGGACAAACCAATCATCCATGTTGAAGTGAATCCGGATCACGAAGACTTTGTACCCTAGCCTAATCATGACAAACATTGCCGCGACAATGTACATGCCGAGTGAGATGGCAACGAGCTCTCCGCTTCGGTTCAGAACAGGTTGGCCGCATTGTGCCATCGTGATGTTCTTGGTCGCTAGTGCTGCTATTAGCTATGCGCGGGAGAGGTGAAAGAATGAAGCGAAGTACCAAGCGCTTCGACTCTCGTGCAAGACTCAGCAATGCATGCTGTGGCGTTGCTCTGGAAAAGCTCGCTGGTGCAAAGGCATGTCTGGTCGGCGAGAGCGCAGATGCCTCCCCCAAGTGCGGCGACGATGCATTTCAACTGAGAGCTTGCATTTCAGTACTGCGACTTCCTCCTTTTCGCTGGACACCTACCGCACAATTTGGCAACGAGTCAAAGCCCGGTACTGGCATGTTTTTTTATCACCCGACGTTCGGTGTCAGGAGGATGAGGTGTTTCTGCCGAGGGCAAGAGAGAACAGTGTGGCTTCCACGTGGAGTCCCGGATCGCTCGATCCACTCATTCACGCCAGTCGGTGCGAACGATTCAGTCTGTTGCATGGCTTGCTGAAGAGAGACACGGGTCGACCAGCATTCTTACAGGAACAGTAGCGGAGATATAGACTGGGTTCTTCGCCTTCCCGATGGACCTGGAGCCGTAGCGCCCCGCAGATTTCTCCAACTTTGGGGCGCGCGCCGGAACGCTACGCAGCGAAAGGGCGCTGTCGTGACCCTGTCTCTTATACACATCTAGATGTGTATAAGAGACAGCACCTATGCAGTCCTCGGATCAGGGAGCTTGGAACTTCGCCTGACCGCCACAGAGCAAGAACCTGGAGTAGCGACTGAGTCAGCCCATCAGGCTGTAGGGTCGAAGCGTGGATCTGGCCACGTGCATTCACTTTTCTTCGCAGGAACATCGAGGACAAAATGAACCACTTGCTGCATGGCGTCTTCTATTCGCGTCACCGCTTCTGCAAGTCGTTCTCCTTTACCATGTCAAACGGCTACTAAATCGCACCACCCCTCAACCGCTGACAACTTGGGCTGTCGCTACATTGATTGGTGCCCTTGAGCAGTATGTGCGGAGTTACTGCTGTCAACTAGTGCTTCCGCTAGCGCCTGAAGTCATGGAATTTCGTTAGCTCTTCGTCAGCTGGCCGGGAGCCTTGCCGGCGCTAATACAGAGCTGATGCGATGGCATGTGGGGCAGGGGCTTGAATGCCCCGGTGATCAATCATGGACCTCCTCTTCGGTTGGATAAAGTCGTTGGCCCAGTGGCAACTATGGCTACCGCTGCAGTCGCGCCTGAGTCCATGTCTTCCAGAAGTGGCGGCCGCCGAGGTATGATTAGCCGAAAGCTGCGTGATTGTCTGACACGGCTCTTTGTGTTTCGCTTGATGAAGATGTAAATGGCCCCAGTGACTTGCACTGTGACCTAACAAGCATTTCGTACAACCGTGTAGAGGGGTAGACCTGCTTCAACAATGGTCTTTGCCGATTTGAGCGGGACCTTGCCTACGGGGTGGAGGTATCATTCCGCAGCACCCCTGGGATCTCGCTTTGACGGCACCCCTTGTGCGAGAAATCACCGTAATCTTGTATAAGTATCATGGGTTAAGGGCATGTCGCATGGTCATGGCGGTCTCGGTCAGGCTGGAGGCTTTCGTGACCAAGTGTTGGGATCAGTGTGGAGAAATGTCACGCTAACACGGCTAACCGCTCTCTCCATTGGACTGGCAAGCCACAATCAAGGCTCCAGCCACAACGCCAACGGGCTGGCTTGGAAGCATGGGGGGCGGTACTGATCGAGCCCTGAACAAGTCAGCCCCTCACCTATCCCCGGACTCGGCTCTTACTGCACCTGGCGCACGGACGGTTTAGAAACCGGGTACCAGTGCAGCATCTCAGAATAGGCTGAATACAGGTGCGGTGCAACCGTCATGACAGGCGCCTTAGCGTTCTGGGGGCCACACTTCTAATACAACTATTAGCCCACCAAGTTCCAGCAGCAGTCGCGCCCTCGTGCGTCGTCCCAGGTGGCCATGCATGCCGTCCCATGGACTCGTTGACTTCCGTAATCAACAAAGCTGCACCGCACTTTCTCCGTCACATGCCTAAAGCAATGCAAGGCAGGCAGCCGGAAACATACTATAACTGCCGTAACCACGTTGCTATCTCATTTTAAGTACAGGATGACAGAACATAGTAGAATAATGTATTCAGTGCTACTGGAAAGCACGATGGCCGCAAAAACGTGGGCTCGCAGAGGCGGGGAACCACGCGAGTCCGTGCGTCGCCATTTAGCCAGCTGCACCGTACTGTTTCGCCACCATGGCTCGCATTCGCGTTAGTTGGCTTGCCATTTACTCCTGGGCTGCACAAAACAGATACCGTGCTCATTAAAAGGCGAGTTCTCCACTTCAAACGATGTCCCTTCCATCGTTTCTCCGCATTTCAGCTATCTTTCAAACAGGTATCCGGGGCGGCAATGGAGGACCGAAGTGGCCAGATCGTTGCCGTCAATGTTGCCTTTCTCGTCCTAACCACCCTCATCATCGGATTTCGCATCTACTGCCGAGGATGGATCATACGGTCCTTCGGTATAGATGACTACACAATGTTCTTAACCTGGGCATGCCATCCTTAGGGTCTGATGCAATTGCAGTGTTCAAGATTTAGCTAATCGTATCCTAGGTTATTTTTTTGCTGTACCTCACGACGCAGCTTCTCGGTGTGCGTTACGGGACAGGCAAACATCGAGCAGTCTTGGATCCGAGCAGCAACAGCGAGGCGCTCATGGTAATACTTGAGCTCATAACATTGTCCCATCAAATAGCTAACTTGTCTAGTGGTGGTTTGCGTGTGAGTTACTTTACATCTTCTGCACGTGCCTCCTCAAAATATCCGTTGGGTTCTTCCTGCTGCGCGTCGCTGTTGATCTCAAACACATTTGGATTCTCCGCATTTCCATGGTTCTGACCATTGTCTTCGGCCTTGCGTACTTCTTTATGGTTGTTTTTCAATGCTCGCCAGTGTCTGCCTTCTGGGATATAAACCCCAGAGCACCAGCCTGTTTGCCGGAAGGACCGATCATAGTGATGACCTACACGGCATCATGTTTGAACTGTATCGCGGACTGGGTTTTCGGTATACTGCCTGGTTTTATCGTGTGGTCTCTCAAGATGCCACTGAAGACAAAGATCTTGGTAATTGCAATCCTAAGTTTCGCGGCCATGTAAGCGCACAGCCGTGCATCTAAAGCTAAAACCAGCGGTGAGGGATTGACACTGTACAGTGGCAGTAGTGCGACAATTTTCCGATCGACCTTCATCTCAACCCTCCTGGACGGCGACGACTTCTTGTGTACGCTGTCCCTATGTTGACGTACATTAACTGTCTAGCTAACCAAAGACTCTAGACGCCACAAGCGATGTCGCTATATGGAGTACTGTTGAGCCCGGTATCGGGATCTCCGCGGCGTCGGTAGCGACTCTCCGGCCTTTCCTGCAACTCTTGAGTTATAAGATTGGTCTTTCCAGTCACGGGCCAAGCAACCCGGCCTGGCAGGAGCGTAATAATGGCCCACGATTTCGGCTAGGGTACATCAAAAGCAACAGCTCACCCCGTGTGTATATGCAGCATCCAAAACCAGACGGTACAGTTGCTGCAACGTTGGACGCGCACTCGACCCATAACCTGTGCTGATGATGCTATGCAGCTGGGAACTGCTATCACATGGACATATCTGCGTTTAAGAGGAGGATGCGCGTCGACGATGCAAGATTAACCGTCACGGCCATGACCATGAGCGTAGTTAATGTTGCCTAGTTGGCCAAAGGCTGCAGGACAAAAGCGCATCATATTTCCGCCAATTTTGGCGTTACGGAGGACCTGATCTTGCGAACTTGGATTACTGGAACATGGAGAAGGCCCGGAACCTTGTGACGTCTTAGGAAGAAGCTGAAGCGCACATGAAGAATATTATGTCGCGGACGTCAGCCAGCCAAGGAAATGACACTGGAGAATGCTAAATTTCTCCGCACCGTGGGTTCAGCAAAGACCATCTACCGCCGCGAAGTATGTCATCTGTCATTGAGTGCGTAGTCGAGTATTAGGTTCGAAGTCGGTGCCGGCATGATGTCATCCCGCTAAAGAGCTGCAGTGGAGTCGCTGGAGATGGTTGAGAAAACTTGTGACGGCATTCCACTTCCTCTCTGAGCAGACCGGTGGTGCCTCCGCATGGCTGTTGTTGTGCGATACGTTAGAATCGTCCGAGCAGCCATTCCTCCGTCTCAAACTACTCGCACAATTACCTCTCTTTCAAAAATCTCGCGGGATCAGCCAGAGCAGCATGCTCATATGTGGGGCGATGAAAGTTACGCGACGTTGTAATTGCACGTCTAATGAACGGTTCCCGCTCTGCCGGTGGCTGCCCTGGAGACTGAGCTCGAAATCGAATGGAAATAATCGCGCCCCACCGCAGGCAAACTGGAGTCACCACGCACCGGTCCCACATGTATCCTTTGCTCCCTTGGTCACTGTCTTGGCTGGCCACTGTAGCTTGTCTTCCATCCCGCGTGCGAATCAGTGGCAACATTTCGTGCATTGGGCGTGATGTCCCGGCGCTTTTGTGAAGGATGTGACTCAACAGGTGCTGCGGAACATCGGCGCAGCCTGCGAAGGGGTACAAAATCAGGTTATCTGGGCTCAATGGGTATGCGAGGCGATGATGACCAATTTGGTCTAGAGATGGTAGGGACGGTGCAATTGCTTCGCTGATCCAAGCCTTGGCCTGCGGACCTTGAGGTTCATCTGCGGACCTTGAGATTCACTGGATACCGCTGTTCTTTTGATGATGCACTCAGCGATGCCCGGTTCGCGCCACCGCGAACGGTTGGCGACAAGCTCAGGGCGGCCAATCGGTAACAAAGAGACGGATGCCTGGTTATAAGGGGAACTACGTCCGTAACATCCGGAGTTTTGACGCAGGATGAGTCATTCAATGCGATAGGCTGGACGAACGTCAGTAACGCCAGAGAGGCGAGAGGACGATTGGTGGTCAGTGCATGCTTGCCGCTGGTCTGCGTGCAAACTTAGCCTTGTATCTTTACTTTCGTCATCGTCTTCTGAAGGCAGCGACGGAAGTGAATTCTGCCATCCGAGGGGTTAATGCTGATAGCGAACAATTGAACGACCATTTGGGAGATACCTGGTGAGTGCTTACCTCTGCCGTTGGGTAGTTTGGCATTGGCCCCAGTACATTGGGAATGAAGGCTCTAAAGTAACTTGAACTGGGTAAGCAGATCTTGAGAAGGCCACGGTAAAGAGTACAATGCACGATTCTGTTGTTGATAGCACCGGAGGTATGCGCCATGTTGGCTTAGAGTCTGGAGGCACTGAGTGTTCTTCTTGCTGTAGGCATGTGTCGTGTATTCCAGTGAGACGTCGGCAGTGGTGCCGTCGCTGGTTTTTAATTCGATGGGCGTCATCGACTACGGTGTCGCCCATTTCCTTGTACAACGAGCTGTGCGACCTGTTGGGGCCAGGAACCTTGTTTCGGGTGTGTGCCCGAGAGTCTGGGCGGGGTATTTTGGAAGTCTTGTTGAGACTTGACAACGATGCATGTCTGCGTGGCGGAGGAGCATCCTTGCTTACACATGTGCCACGTTCTTCCCGGTTTGGTTCAGGTTTGAGTTGGGCGTGGCATTTGCCCTGCTGTTGGCAAGCGGCGGAGTTCGAAGCTGCTGCGTGGCTGTGCGTCTTCAGGCACGCTGAGGATATTATCCCTTCGGGGAACGTTGATCTTTGTGATACTTTGCGGGATGAGCTTGCCGAGATGCGTAAGCTAGTTGAGGCACAACAGGTGGTGTTGCCACAGAGAGCTAGTCGTTCCTCCTCGATGGGGCCTACTCCGCCTTCTTAATATTACAAACAGTTTGCTGATCCATTGGACTCCGACGAGTAGCTCGAAGCCGATGTAACGGCAGCAACTGTCATACACCTTTCGATCAGATTACGCACAAGGCACTGTCATGGCTAAGCCATCTGGAGGACGACCAATTGCAACATTTCAGGTGGCTAAGAGTCCGATCCCCATACTGATATACGTTCTTCTTACAAAGGAGTGCAGCTGGACGCTAGGAACATGCAACCCACCAGACATTCTCGGCGCCGCTGGGACTATTTCGCTCACACAGTCCATAATCCGATCCTGGAGTGTGTCGACAGACTACTCATGCACTCCATGTCTTCACAGAAGGTGCAGCATAACTTTATCGTCCCTCCGCCAACTTCGGAGACTGACTTAGAAGGCCCCAAACCCCATCCATGTTCAGGCTCTATTTGTCGCCATCCAGACCAATTCTGCACATCTGCAGACGATGGAGTTGGACTTCGTCAACTGGGAATATATGTGGGATCTTGCATGTAGCGATAGCGCCGGTGACCACGAAAGTATCGCCGCGCAGCGAAATTTCATTGTTCGAGGACTTCTCGGGACGGACGGTCGATCATTGCGCCAGATTTTACCGGGCATTTGCACACTGATCCTCTCCTAGGGGCCAGTATCAGCTTCAATGGCACAGATAATCTACGTCGAAAGCCTCGTATCGCTGAAGCTGCGAAGGTGTCCTGGATGGGACACATTCCTGGCACCTGCAGCGCGACTCAGGTGCCGCATCCAGTTTAAAGAGCAGCGCACTGTCGTGCGCTTGCAGATCGCTCTTCAAGATAATTCTCATCAATTACTACGATGCCAACTGTGATCCCTGTGGAGCCAATTGTCTGACAGATATCTTATGATGCAATAATCCTGATGCTTAATGCCGAGAACGAATCGGAGCGAGACCGCTTGACGCGCAAGTGGCGTGATCATAAAATTCAAGAACTTCGCTTCGTTGGCACAGTAGTCAGTTGGCCAGGAAGCAAGCTTGTCGGTAGTCGAACGCTGACAATGACATTCATTACCGAGGGCGCACTGCTAGCAGGCTGCCTTGCCTCGACAGGATCATGGCCGGATGTTCTGCCGTCCAATGTCGATAAGCCGTGGACCGTCCGAGCAACCTGGCATAGCGGGTTAATTTTCGCGCTCTTTGCGGTCATAGTGTCCTGTCAGCAAAGTATGAAGCTCCATCATCTCTCGGCATACTGTGACGGGCTGAATCAATTTCGGGTTTGCCTAGGGAAAGGGCCTGGACGCGACGGCAAATGCCCTTCTGGGCTTCAAATGTACGCGTGGGAGACAAGCCTGCTGTTTCTCACTGCCAGTATAATATGTGCCATCGCAGGTCTGACCTAGCTAGTGTGGCTTGGTGACATATATGGTGCAGACGGAGGCTCAGCCGACGAAAAGGCAGTGTGAGGGAGTATCAAGGTAGTAAAAGCTCCTGTTGACCTGTCTTTGATGGAGGCTAACGCATGCCAAGATGGCCGCCACCTTTACCGTCACGCTCGTGTGTTCTCTTGCTGTATTTTTGGTTTCGCAAGCCGCGATGACCGGCGTGAACGAACATCACGCCGCAGTCTCAGGCCAAGACCGGCGCCACACACTCTCAACGCCTTAGTTGGCTGGAGGACCAGAGCTTAACTAAACACGGAAGTGACGCTGTGACAATGAGTTGTCACACCACGAGTTAGGGCATCGAGGTGACTGCTGGACTTGGCAACGTGTTTGGTAGCCGCACGATTTGACATACCAAGTTTATTCTAGACGCGCTCCAGGAAGAGGATTCGGTATGCACATGTCCATTGCCTGATCGTGCGAGAATGCGACAGACCAGATCACGCCTCCATGGCCTTCGAGCATCTGCACGCACGCGTCCGTAGCGGCCCGCCTGATCCGGACCGTTCGGTAGCGGTGGGAGGCCATCATCACAAGCATTGAATCGTACGAAGATACCACCGATCTGATCGATGTGTCATTGTCTCGTAACTATCTGCGTACAATCACGCGTGACTCTCCACCAGAGCCGGATTGTGCAGTCCTGGGAGCCCAACGCCAGCAGCACGGGTCGTGCGGGAAGGTTACTAACTTACTGAAGCAGACTCATCGCATTTTATGAGGTGGCTTGCCGTGCACTGATTCAGTATTCGACAGCAGTGAATGCTGATCGACCTCATAATGCCACTAGCCTCACTTTCCCCGCTTTTCTACGTCTCTGTTGCAAGCATCAACGAGCATTTGGAGGTTGCCGTGAGAGATTCGGAGGGGATACCCAAGGACGAGCCGCCTGGTGGAGCTATCGACCTCACTCCCAAGGCAGCCTCCGCTGCTGCTTCCGGTGAGGCGCTCGACGACGTTTGAGCGAGGAGAAGCCCACAGAATAATGCTGGTCGGCGGACATCACAGCCGTCGTAGTTGGTGGCCTTTGATCAGCCACGTGACCATCGCCTTCTACCTGGGCGTCGCCGATCGATTGCAGAAAGGGGATGAGCACCGACTCGTTCAGGAGTTCGCAGACCATCCGACACACGTCGTCAAGCTCAGATGAATCAGGTGGAATCGAGTCACAAGATGTCCTAAGAAGGGAGTCTTGGACTGCAGACGGTATGTTGATTTGACGAGGAGCAGATGGAGTAATGTACACCTGCATAAGGTATTTCCACCATCCTTGGATCTGCTCCAGGCTTTCGGCTGACGGCGGTTGCTCAACCTTCAGCTGCTCATAAAGCTCTGAGTAACGTTGAGAATCACGAAGGAACTCGAGCAACTCCATGCAGTGTTTCTCGGAAAGATAGCCAGTGAAGGCATTCAAAGTCCAGGGCGGTGGAGCGGCGTCGAGAAGGATTGTGGAGAGAGTTGGCGGAGTAACAGCCATTGAAGATCTTGCTTCACAGTATGCTGAGTAGCATTGAGAATATGTGTGTGTCAATAGGAGGTACTGAAACAAGCCACAGCAAGAGTCCAGAACGCGGGTCAACGAAACTGGCATTTGACCTTTAAATATATGACGGTGCACATACATCAGCAAGCACACGAGCCAATTAAATTTGTGTTTCTGGCCAGAGAAACTTGTGCCACGATGCCTTTGTGGCTGACACAGAGTAGGGCCTCAGCCATCCAGCCCAGAGCCCGAGAGGTGTGTACAGAAGTCCAGCTGACTGTCCGCTTCAAGTAAGAGCCAGCTGGGGGATCTTGCTTGATCTTGGCAGGTGCACGATTGGGACGCCTTGGCAGGGGAAAAGTGCATCAGACATTGATGGCAGAGCCATGCAAAGGGAAGCAGAATTGGATGATAACTACAACGGCCGCGTGGCCAACGGACAAAATTCGCCAGTGCCGGGTCCATTTGCTGGGCCGGCTGACATTACGTGCATGAACTCTTTTGGATTAGCGTTCTTGGATCCCGTGCTGTGATTGAGTGCATTGTCCGGAGGTGCTCCCGCCGGATTTAGAGTTGTGATTGGCTTGTATGTCCAGCGGGGAAATCATTCCGACGTCAGCTTAAAAGGATGACAGAGGATTCGATTGGGCTTTTGGCTCCTACATTCTGTCGCAGCGATGACACGAATAACCATGGAGAAAGGCCATGTTCCGCGACAGTTACTGCCCCGACTGCTCCCAGAAGGAGTGTGTTCTCCTGCATTGTACGACGTGCAGCGACCTCAACAGCGTCGTCGGAGAAGTAATATAACCCGCGTCGCATGCGAACCCTGCCGGAAGCGCAAATCCAAGGTATAGTGTTCATGTGCTTTTGACGTCGAATGTAAGGATATGCCTTGGGTTAACTCGGCTGACCGACGCTTACTTAGTGTGATGCTCAGCGTCCAAACTGCAGCTGCTGCGTCCGTCGCCAGGTAGATTGCCAGTATGAGACAATGAGAGCAGGTGAAAGCCGGTACGAGGGGCTAAAGAGGGCATACGAAGACGCAAAGCACGATCTTTCAGCCTATCGATATTTGATCCATGTTCTTACGACCACATCGGAAGAGGTATCCCAGACAATTATTCGACGGATTAAGACCAGCGCTAGTATCCCGTCTATACATCGCTCGGTCTTAGAAGCTAGGCTCCTACTTGAGGTACATGATGGTAATCAGACGCGCATGCGCGCTCCCGTGAAATGCGTGGATCTCAGTGGGAGCATATAGTCTAGACAACAGATCGGGGCGCGAATACAGGTTTGGCTTGAGTCGCTGTGCATATGAATGAGACGCAGCGCCAGATGGTTTACCTGCTACAGTGGCCATGCCGTTGGCCTTGATGCTAGAACGACAAAAATACCAATGCTTGACTGTGTAGGATCATTTCTGAGACCACATTGGGGATACAGACTGCCTGCATTTTGCGCCTTTGGGCTGTCCGAAGTTTCTTCCCGCGTCGCACATTCTGTCGGTAGCATTGGTGCCTGCTACGATGGATAGTGATGGATGGAGATGGATATTCAATCCTTCACGCGTTGCCCATGCCCCAGCGCGGAGTGTAACGTCCGAGTTTATTCACACGTTTCTATTGAGTACGATCGCAGCCAGGGGCAATATGCATGGTCAGAAATGGACAGAGGCCGAGAACCAATCCCATGTTTCGTCGCTTTCCTACACCAGCAACAACCTCCTGTACAGCAAACTCGTTTCGACTTACCACGACCTGCAGTTTGAACAAGACCAAGACCGCGGCAGACTGAGACAGCTATCGCCTCCTGGACCCGCCATGAAGGACAATGCAACAAAAGCTTTTGGCCATGACCAACCTCCACAGAGCGCGGAACCATTTTGTAATCTCAACTCACGTCATAGTCAGCCCAGCCGTGACGCCTGGCATTCGAACCTCATGAAAACGTTGCAACAGGTGCTGCTGATACTTTTAACCTTTTGGCCACCCACTCTGACGCTGACTCCTTCAGATAATCCTGGATCAGTCGGCAGTCGCAGCTGCCATGCTCCATCAACATGTTCTTCAGAAGATACGTCTCCGCCGTCAGCTCCGATAGCGCCACTGATAGCCTGCGACGGTCCTGCTCTAAGTCGTCGTGTTTTGATTTGAGCTTGTCCTCTTCATTCCGCCTCCGCAAGCGGCATTTGTCGGCGGCGATACGATTCATTTCGCGGACACGTACCGCCCTTGAATCGTCCGCACCAGGAGCCTCAGCCTCGCTGTTGGTCCTGGTCCGACGCTCGAACCCGGTGCCAGGGTCGGCCATCGATATGGCAGCCGTAGTAGAGGTTGGTCGAGCCTTTCGTGGGCGGCCGCGCTTCTTAACTGCGCCGGTTTGGCCTTTGGTGATGGCGAGTCGGTGGATGGGGTCGAGTAAATGGTCAGACCTTCGGACATGTTATGATTGACGGCATCGGACGGATTGCTGATTGAACTGCTAGTTGTTCGCGGAGAAAAGGGGTCAGGAAAGTGCATACCATTGTTGCTGTGGTCGTTCATGGCAAGCTTTCTGGCGTCCAAGTCGGGAATGGTGTCGTCTATCCAGCTCATGGATGGGTCGTTTCCAAGAATGGCGGTGGACGCCGGAAGATTCTCTGGCTCCTCCATCACCAAACCACTATGCAACGGAACGTGTTGCACCGTTGGCCACGGAGCTGGCTGGAATCAAGTGACTTTTCGCTGTTGAAGGCTCGCACGCCAAAAGCGTTACTTGAGAACATGAGTGTTGAGTCCATATTGATGTAGTTGTCGAAACGGAGTCGATTTTGAATATGATAGATATTGGCCTTGTAGGGATTTTGGGTGATGAGCTGGTGGGTTCATCTAAGTACGCCGGCGCCCAAGGCAGATAAGCCAACATGCAGGCGGAAACTGAGACCGCGTGGGCCACACCAATGATGGATGCATCGGCGGGGATCTCGAAGAGCCATATTGATGCACTGGAGCGTTGCAGGGAGATCGGGGCCAGCACAGTGCAGAAAGTGCGCGATTGGGTGGTCCAGGACGGCCTGGGGATTTGGTTCAATACCTGCTTGGGCGGGAATACTGTCTAGGGGGAAATTCGCAGAGGGTGGCTGCAAGGTCAAGACGGATTTGGCAGCGATTGCAGCTGGCCCTCACCCATTGGAGGTGGAGTCATCCGGAATCGCCCTCGCAAAACTCCCCGCTGTGCTGTCTGGGACTGGTGGAGACTGGCGGTGTTGCCAACAAATATGGGCCAGGGCCCGCCGGACAACTTACTCCGTCACGAGTGAGCAGCATCAACACGGCGTGCGTGCGCACGGAGTGCTATCCAGAACAAGTTGGCCCGCTTGGGCCATCAGCGAAACGAAAAGAAAGCCACCCCTAACGCAAAAGTCATCAGATCCGTGCAGATTGTTTCAATGAGGAGTTTGAGCAAATTGTAATTATTATTATTGTAGTTTGTGTCGAGCCACCTTTAGGTCGCTCACAGCACATACTGAGCTGCTAGAAGCCCACCAACTGCTTATCGACACAGGCAAGTGGGGCGGCCCCCAGGGCGCGAAACGAATGAGCGCCGACCCGCGCACCTTCCACTGAATCCATCCAGCCCTACGACGTGCTACTCTCGAGCGCAGAACCGTAAATGACGACCGGGCGAACGCTTGAAGAAACGACTGCTCTCGCGTCCCGAGATATGAAAGAACTTCTCGCTTGGGGTGCCGCCAACGGCGTCACTTTCGACCCGGACAAGACCGAGGTGATGCAATTCTCCCGGAAGAAAAGCCCCTCCTGGCCCTCCGTATTCCAAGGCGACACCGAGATCGTTCCTGGAGACGCTATGCGCTGGCTCGGGCTGTGGCTCGACCGCAAGCTTTCCTTCAAATTCCACGTTGACGAGTGGTCTGCCAAGGCCAGGCGAGTGGCCAATCTCCTCAAAGGCATCGCCAACACCAAACACGGCCCTCTTCCTCGTGCCGTCCGCAGAGCAGTCAAGGCGTGTGTCGAACCGACCTTATTTTACGGCGCAGAAGCGTGGTACCCCGGAGAGGTGGCGCCTAGTGCTGCGAACCCGAATCGCCTCGTGTCCACGCAGGTGAAGCACCTCGTACTACGTCTGGACAAAGTCCTAAGACACGCTGTCCGAGCTGCCCTTCCCGTGTGGAAGACCCCGATCCCAGCCATACACCGCGAAGCTGGCACGCCGCCTGCATCCATCGCACTAGCCGCTCAGCAGGTCCGTTTCTCGGCACGCTTGGAGTCTCTCGACGGACGCCATCCCCTTGTTAAAAGTGCCTCGCGGAAACCCCTTGGGGCGCAGCACACTCGGAACCCCAGCTCGACCCCACGTGTCAAGCCAACTTTCAGTCGAGGCTACAACGCGCCGACCAACTCCTCCCGAAGTGCCATCAGCCGGCGCTCCTGCCGCGCCACTACTCCGACACAGAAGCCAACCCTCTTCAGACTGCAAACAAAGCCGAAACCGCTGGTGACTTCCTCGAATGGCTTGCAACCGCCGCCGCAGCCACGCTCATCGTCTACTCCGACGGGTCGCAACTTCCAAACGGCGCCGTGGGATTCGGCTTCGCAGTACACCGGGACAAGCAAACGCTAGTCCAAGGATCGGGCCGTTTGGGTCCATCCGAAGTCTTCGACGCGGAGGCAACCGGCGCCCTAGAGGGCCTTCGGGCCGCTCTCCGCCTGAGCGACACAACAAGTGAAGTTGTGGTCTGTACCGACAATCTCGCCGTAGCCAGCTGTCTGCGAGGCAACCCCGTCGACTCGTCGCAGGACAAGTTCACCAAGTTCCAAGAACTGGCAACCTTGCACGGAAACGTGCAGGTCCGCTGGATACCAGGACATACCGACATACCAGGCAATGAGGAGGCCGACGGCCTCGCCAAAGCAGGTTGTTTGCAGCCTGGACCACCCGGAGCCATGCCATCGCTGGCCCACCTGCGCCGACTTGCGAGGCAGCAATCGAGAGATGTCTTCAAAGCTTGGTGGTCAGCTGAAGCGCCAGAGTCATACAAGACTCTGAACCTCGAGGCAACCACAAGCTGCCCTCCAGAGTTGGCGCTCCCCAGGGCAACGCTCCATAGCCTCCTTGCGGCGAGATCTCGCCATGGAGACTTCGCCGACTACCACGAGCGTTTCAATCATGACGACGCGCGTCTTGACTGCTCATGCGGACGACGCAAAGCACCAGAGCACCCGTTCTACTGCAGGAAGGTACCGCCACGGCTCCGGATGAGGCTCGCACCCTCGCCGGCCGAAGCGATACACCATGCAGTAGGCAAGGGCTTCAAAGCCTTCGTCGAGATGACGTCGGAAAGCTCCTTCTTCCAAAGGATCTGTCCGCGCCATTAGGCGACCAGCACCCTCTCTCTTTCCTTTTTGTTTTTGTGTTTTTGTGTTTCTTCCATTCTGGTCACGGTCGAGCGAAGGGCGTTGGTCCGCCCTCCGCTCGGCTGAGGCCCTCCACTCTGGCTGCGAGGCGCAGCCGTTGAGGAAAAGCCTTCCCAGACCCATCAAGAAGATGGGTGACGACAGCGACGCAACGTCGCATGCGACTCTACATCCCGCGGACGGGTGCGAGGCTCCGACGAAAGAGCGCCTTGAGCCGATGAGATGCTAGATGGTGTTTGTTTTGAAATGAGGACGCGTCGGTGCGAACTGCGGGGCGACCGAAATGAGAGCCATTGGTGCCTGAGGCAGCCACAACTCAGTGACTGCTAATGTCAACATCAAGTCGCTCTTTCACAACCAGTAGACATGACGGTGTTGGTCACTTGCGCATGTCAAGCATATTAGAGCTATTATGCGTCAAATTCCCCAATACAAGTAGCTCAATTGGACTCAATCGAGCTCACAGCTAAGCATAAGAAGCTGGACGTCTTGCCAGTCATTAGATAGAAAATTAAGAGTCTTTCGTTACCCGATTCACAGGGGACCTTCTACCCGGTCATCAGCTTGTTTTGCATTTGTGCCGTGCGACAGCTAACCTGGACCAACGGGCAGGAACTTGGAGAAGCACAGCGGTTTGGAGCTGATGCCAATTGTAGATAGACTCTCATCAGCCTAGCACGTCCTTTGCCCCGATAGGGGCTTTAGCTTAATAGCTTCCCGGACGTTAAATAATATCACATCACATCACATCACATCACACAACCCTCCCAATTTCATCCAGTAAAAGGTTGCCCAATTCCGTCTCACCCAGAACCACGTCTTTGTCGGATGCTTGGCGACATGCGAGCCAGAGAGGAACAGTCCGCTTCACAGCCTCCCAGCAACAGCGCAAAGGCCAGACAAAACTTTTGGTAGCATCAAAAAACAGACTCTGCGGCAAAGGGTACAGGGTGTGTGCCGCGCCGTGGACCGCAAGATGAGGATCCAGCCTCACAAGAGCCTCGTAGTACCAGTCCCTCCACACAGCAAGTTGAATACGAAATTCTCGGCCGCCTAGTTGTTGCCGTACCTCGCTTACCATATCCAGAGGCATGGCTAAAGACGACGATGACCACCGTAAAAGGTACCACCGCTTGCAAAAGCCCCCTCTTCTAAGCAAAGCACAGTCCTGGTGGTCGCAGCAAGAACAAGTGTCAAGGCTCAGTTCATACGGCATGGGAAGCATGGTACGCTCCATGTCAACGATGTCGCCGTGCCTCTCTTTTCCGATTGATATGTATTGTCAACCCCTGGGGTAATGGAAGACACCGGCCCACATATCAACCAGTCGACTGCAACTGAATGAGCACGCACAAGAGAGTTCGTAAGGTGACATTGCATCACGGACACTGCGGATCTATGGTAGCCCGCGTCAGGTCGGGCTTGTACATATAGTAATAGTGCAGTCCACGCATGTGAAGTTTCGTCGCCTTGCAGATCCATACCAACCAGCAATGACATGTCGCACTCCATTTCGGAAGATACGCACGTGCCTCGGGTGGGTCTCATGGCGCCAAGTCTCGGAAGTATGCACTTCACCAGCGACTCCAAAATTGCGGTCCCGATTCGGCTTCTTGACCATCAACGACTGGTTAACTTCGAAAGCCTTCGCTATGAAAACCGGAGACCTGCTGACGGCTCTCATCCCCGAGACGCTACAGGCGTTGTCTCCATTGCTGTCAGCTGCACGTGCCACAAGGTCCGTCAGCCAATAGATCAACTTTACGAATCCATTGAACATGTAGGTGTGACATGTCTGATGCCGGGGCGAACGCGAGGTACGAGCAGCTCCCCAAGCTAATTGCGCCTCAAGCGCACGTCCCGGCTCCACGAGTTTGTGACGAGAACCGAAGGAATTGCCTTCCACCAATAGCAGAGCGGTCCCACCCACCTCCGTCTGCATGGCTGTGACTTTACGATGACCAAAGCCACTGCCGAAATGAGTTAAGTAGGGGGTCGAGCAACGCAGTCAAGCTCAAGTTGCTCACTACCTTTCGAGTGGCGGATCTTTCAAGGGTAGTGGGTCAGTGGGTGGACAAATTTCCCGTACACAGCCCGATCCCAACCCACATGTTTGCCATGGTGGAGCTGGGAAGCCGGTGATCCGGAGACCTTCGCCTTCAGCTTCTCCGCGTCTGACGGTCAACGCGGGAATCAATCCTCCAGAGTGGCAGGCTGAGGCCGTTGAGGTAGGTAGTTGAGCGCTAACACAGCACGCCCCATTTACCAGCATTTACCCAAGCGACGTCTAAACCACCGTTCGCCTGGACTCAACGAAGCGGGTGTTTGGTTGCGTCAGGGGCTTACTCTTGGGGACTTGACCGACCGATTTTGGGAAGCACGACTAAGTGCGACATGTTTAGAGGTCTCCTCGCGGAGGACCTTGCCTATTGACGCATGCGCGCCAGGTCGGAGACAATCCTCCACCGGGAGGAGGCTGAGCGTCGATGCTTCTGTAGCTAGCAACCACACCCTAGTACGCCAAGTTGCCACTTGCCAGTGCCGCTTGAGCCAGGGCCTTTGTAGCAGGCAACTGCTGCCAAGAAGTAGCATTCGCGACTGTTTAGTGACTGAAAGATGCTCCGAGGCATATTCGCAAGACGCGCCAAGAAATATTCAATATGCTTATGGCCAAGAGTAAGGAGAGGGGTTCCCATGCGGAGGCGGATGGCGGGGGGGCGTGTTCTGATCCAAGGGCATGTCGAGTACTGTAAATATCATCATCGGGCGCGCGTTCGTCGGGTGTGTGCCGGCACTGCAATCAGTGAAGTTGTGTCAATCGAGCCGCAAAGCTGACGAAGGACTTGACGTAGATTGAGCGCAGCGAGCGTTGACAGCAGCTACAATGCAGAATAAACGACAAGTTAGCTGGAGTAGCTAGTTAAATCCTGATGCATATGGGAGGTTGGGCTAGGAAGAACAGCGCGACGGAGAGTTGTCGCAGATGCATGGCAATGGTGTCTGGTCAGGAGAAGGGAAGCAGCTGAGCGACAAAGCTGAGGTTCTTTCCAGCGGCAAACTTGTGTATGGCGCTGTACAATGGTGCGCGGGTTCCAGGATTATCTACCGTCTTCCAAATGGCATTTGCGGGCGCAAGATTGGGGCCAGGCCTGGAGCCGGTTACACGTCACGCGCCGACCCTTAGTGAAATTAAGTTGCAATAGGACACCCAGTCGGGGACTGATGACTCTACAAGCTTCTTCGAGAAGGTTGCTTCCGAGTCTTTCGGCATGTGTCGTACGGTTCGCCATGACGCTACCTTCTGCGAACGCTATCTCCAAGCTTTTAGAGCGCGGATACGATTTTGTAGTGGACTCACCCACGAACTTTACTGCAGTCCAGAACACAGTTCTACAGAGGGGATGAAGATCTCCTGGGCCTTCGGGATAGCGGTGTTTCTCAGAATTGTGGCATCCCATTGCCTAAAACACCCTCCATTTGTACCTCACAAGTCAGGTCGACTCCGTAGCGCCCGGCATGAATTTCTAAAGCCACCGGATTTGTCACCATCGGCTATGCTGCTGTTTCAGTTTTTTGGCCACCAACTCGGACGCCGACTCTTTTAGATAGTTCTGGATCAGTTGGCAGTCACAGTTGCCATGCTGCATCAACATGTTTTTGAGCACATACGTCTCGGACATGAGCTCTGAATGCGCGTAGAGTAGCCTGCGATGCTCTTGCTCCAGGTCTTCATGCCTTGATTTGAGCTTCTCCTCCTCTTGCCGCCTTCGCAAGCGGCACCTGTCGGCCGCTACACGATTCTTCTCGCGGGTGCGTAGTGACTTCATGTTGTCTGAGCCAGAAATGTCGGTCTCGCTCTTAGGTATCATCTGGCGCCCGGATTTGGTAGCCTTATCTTCCTTCAGTGCTTCCGTGGCTGCAGCGTTAGAACGAGGCTTTCGCGGGCGACCTCGCTTCTTGATCGAGATCGGCTTAATCTTCGGCTTTGTGGATTCGAACGGCTTTATGTCGATGTCATTGTCTCGAGACTCGCCGCTGTCGCCGAGCAATGAATACCCTTCGCGAATCCCGCTTGCGTCGTCATGTAAGATATCGGGCATCCGCATGTTGGTGACGCAATGCCCGCTCATCGGAAACTTGCGGACTTCTAGGTCGGCCAGTGCCACGCCTATGCGCTTTGCGTGTCGCTGAGTGTCTCCAGAAGCAACGCTTGTCGCTGGAAGAACGTACTGCTCTTCCGCCGACAAGCCATGGCCGCTTGGATCAGCGACATCATATGGGCCGTTGTGATGTCTGGATGGCAGCGACCTGTCCCCAAGGAAAGGCTCCAAATGAGAGGGAATTTTTGGATGTATAAGCGTCGAGTCCATGTGGTGTCGGATACTACAGTATTAGGCAGAGTCGAGACTTAAGGAGGTAATGAGACGGCCTATGTACCACAATGCACAGACGGAGAAGGGTGGTCGGAAAGTGCCAAGCACGATGCACTAGCCACCGATGACGTCTTGTCTCCACACAAACTTTTTACAGGCTCGCCGCGATGCTAAACTCCAAAGGGAGCCACTACAGTGATTCAACGCCGGCCAGTCATGCCAGATGCCGCAGACACCTACAGGCCTGCGGGCAGTTGACTACCGTGTTCGGCACGGCACTGGGAAGGAGAGACTTAGTCGCTTGACATCGCGACAACCTTGGAGCTTCAGAAATCGCAGGTACAGGTTGTAGCCGCTAAAGAAGTTCAGGAACTAGGACTGTAGCCGATGACGTGTGTCATCGTTTTGGAAAGGGATGGCCCAACCGTGTCACGCCGGGAAGGTCGCCACAGGTTGACACAAGCTCGGCCACCTCCGTGCGCCTACGGTAGCGACCCCTGAAAACGCTGGGCAGTTCCTGAGACGATGTAAGCACATGCATGGGATGGTCAAGGCACTTCGGTTACAGCCTTGCAAAGCTCATCACTCTTGGTCCTGTCACTGTGAGTGAAGCTGGGGATGGTGGGGGAGGGGGGCGACGGGCGCAAGTGAGACACCGCGTGTTTCGTAATACCCTGGTTACCGGAGCCAATGCTCCGCATGTTTGTGGCAAGTCCTAGCCAATGCAGCGGGCCAATCAGACCGACAAAGCCGTCGCGCATCATCCGTTTCGAGATCTGACCTGGCTTCAATCTTCTTAGAAAGCACGTCCATCTCCAAAATCTTTGGCGAAGCCTTCAAAAGGGTAACTGCGGCGAGTCCCGTGACATGCAGTCTCCATTATAACCCACCGGGCCTTGGAACGCTTTTTCCTCACAAGCCTGGGACACCTGGCCGATTGGGGGTCGTACCGTTGAGGGACCATTGCATCTTTGACGGCAGCAAATTAGAGCACAGCGCGATCGATCATGTGCTTGCATGGGTGGCAACCGAGCAATCCAAAAAGGCATGTTGTTCCGTCAATTGATTGGAGGGCTGTCTCTGAAGTCTCGGAACCGAGAAGAGGGGACCTACTGATTGGACAGCGGGTAGATGTCCTTGCAGAGTGGCGTCCATGGGATTTTCCACCCAGGTGCCAAAAGTACAGAATCTCGATGAAAGGAGCATGGGGATCGGCATTGCCCGATCCCTGACTCGATACTCGATTCACAACCGCAGTGGGGCGAGAAGTTGACTCGAGGAAACATAAGGAGGCTTCATCTGGTCTCCCATGATGTTCCCATCCTGTCACTGCAACATGTTGTTGCAGAGTCTCGGTTGTTGGTGCACTACTTACTGGACGTATAACTACTGTACGATTTCGTGCCAACTAACTGCATAAGATCAAACAGGGGGCGTGAAGGGAACTGCATGTCTCACTTGTCCCACACGAGTAAAGAAGGGGATCACGATGAATACTCGGGTGACCGTTCATACACCCAATCTTTTGACCGTGACGCCTTTTGTGCTGGCATCCATACCATATGTCTGACATTTCTAATTGCGTTGGCAACTCATTCGCATGCCGTGTCAGAAGTCCAGGGCGGATTGCCTTCTCACTCGACTTTGCTGATATTGAAAGACTGCAGCATAAGGACAAATGGGATGAAGCTGAGGCCTTTTTGTCCGCTGCGTAACAGATTGACGTCCGGACGGTAGTTTTCCTATCAATCGAGAACGCAAGGGCAGTTGGCAAGTCTTCCAGGTGCTTGACTCAGGCCGCATGTGGTTTGCCTATCTCCGCCTAGTCGTTGGTGAGCAACGCTGACATGTGTCGTTGGAGCCAATGGCTGTCTACAAGGCCCTGAAGAATACTAAGGCGTCTCGGGAGGAGACCAACATTAACCTCGTCCAGATGTGGACAGTCATAAAACCTTCACGAGTGCCATCTCGGTCTTAACAGCAAAACATTACGCGCCAGACAGTGCGGCACACATTAAGCTGCTTCGTGCAGCTTTTGGCAAGTCTTAATCCTCGATGTGCCAGTTTGCTCGGGCGGGGTTTTGGACACTTGGATGCCTGTGGACGGTCTGGGCCTGGTTGTGGAGATAAGGTGCAAGGGTTCTGCAGGCTAGTGCTGAACTCGGATAGCGTCCGTCCTGGCGCCCGCTGTTGGAGAGTCTGGACCGGTCCATAGCTGGTGGTCAGAGCCATGTGCGGGCGCCGCCCGGGGCTGTTTCCATCGCCACTAACTTCGCGCAAGACTTGGTTTCCAGCAGCTCGACTTTGCGACAATCCAACCTCACATTCAAGTTAGCTACTCGGCAAGTCGCCGACGTCCAAGTTGCGAAGTTTTTCCTACCAGCAGCGTCCCCAAGTCGTTTGTCGAACCTTGGCCTAAGTGCCCGTTGACTCACCTTCCTCGCCTGAGGGCCACTTTCGGAAATGCGAACTTTCCTCCATGCACTCGAAATGGACAATGAGAATATGCTGGCAGCTGCCGCAAAAATCGTGGCCGCTATTGCAACTGACCCATCCTCGTCTCTAGATGGATCCATTAGTACTTCGCTGCGCCTTCCCGGGCCCGAGGGCGCTGCAAAAAGGTCTCTTGAACGGGAACTGCGAAGTCTGGCCGTACGAGTTCACCAGCTGGCAAGGAACGCGTCGGCCTCCTCTTCAGTCGTTCTTCCAGTGACGCCTGATGAGGTCAGCGATACGCTCTTTGGTACAGGACGTGAGTCGAGTACGCTTGCGACCCATCATCGCGGTTTTCCCGCGGCATCTGCAGGATGCGCAAGCAGCCCAACGCAGCAGCGTGGCGACGAGCGTCCGGAGCAAATTACGAACCTTTTGCGAGAACACGTTGATGCTCAAGCCAAATTGATCGATCATCAGCGGCAGGAACTCGCTAGAGTCCATGTCGAGCTACTGGAGCTGAAGAGTTTCCTGCAAGGCCCATTTCGACAAACGGAGAACGATCAGGTTACGACACTTCAGAAGGAGCTGTGGAAGCACCGCAAAGCCAACGAAGCCTTTCAGGACGCTCTTCGGGAGATTGGTGAAATTGTCACCGCCGTCGCCCGGGGCGATTTGACCATGAAAGCCCGCATGAGCACCAAGGAGCTGGACCCTGAGATTACTACCTTCAAGCGCACTATCAACGCTATGATGGACCGCCTGCAGACCTTCGCCAGTGAAGTTTCGAGAGTAGCCCGCGAAGTTGGAACAGAGGGATTATTGGGTGGGCAAGCACGTATCGGAGGCGTCGACGGTACATGGAAAGAACTAACGGACAATGGTAGGCTGCGCCGATGGAACATCTGTGCATGCCCACGCTAATATCGTCGACAGTGAACGTCATGGCGCAGAATCTCACCGATCAAGGTAAGTGCACCGGGCAACTCGGTAGACATGGTCTAATAGTCGAGATAGTACGGGAAATCGCCTCGGTCACGACGGCCGTCGCTCATGGTGACTTGACGAAAAAGATCGAACGACCAGCAAAGGGCGAAATACTCCAGCTGCAGCAAACAATCAATACCATGGTGGATCAACTGCGTACCTTCGCTTCTGAAGTCACACGTGTTTCTAGAGACGTCGGCACGGAAGGTATTCTCGGGGGTCAGGCGGACGTTGGTGGAGCGCAGGGGATGTGGAACGATCTGACTGTCAACGTCAACGCCATGGCCAACAATTTGACGACACAGGTGCGAGACATAATCAAGGTTACCACCGCAGTCGCCAAAGGAGACCTTACGCAGAAGGTACAGGCAGACTGCAGTGGAGAAATATACGAGCTGAAGTCTACGATCAACTCCATGGTGGATCAGCTGCAGCAGTTCGCGCGCGAAGTCACCAAGATTGCGAGAGAAGTCGGGACAGAGGGACGGCTCGGAGGCCAAGCCACAGTGCACGATGTGGAGGGGACTTGGAAGGATCTCACCGAGAACGTCAACGGTATGGCAATGAATCTGACAACACAAGTAAGAGAGATCGCAAAAGTTACGACGGCAGTGGCAAAGGGTGACTTGACGAAAAAAATTGGGGTCGAAGTCAAGGGCGAATTTCTGGAATTGAAAAACACGATAAACCAAATGGTGGACCGCCTGGGCACATTTGCGGCAGAAGTCAGCAAAGTAGCTCGAGAGGTCGGTACTGACGGCACACTCGGTGGTCAAGCCCAAGTTGCCAACGTTGAGGGCAGATGGAAGGACCTGACCGAGAATGTCAACACGATGGCTTCAAACCTCACTGTGCAAGTCAGAAGCATCTCTGCCGTCACACAGGCTATTGCGAATGGAGATATGAGCCAAACCATCGACGTCGAGGCGAGCGGAGAGATACAGGTGTTGAAGGAAACAATCAACAACATGGTCGAACGCCTGTCAAGTTTCTGCTACGAGATGCAGCGGGTGGCGAAAGATGTCGGTCTTGATGGGAAAATGGGTGCCCAAGCAGACGTCGCCGGCCTTAACGGTCGCTGGAGAGAGATCACCACCGATGTCAATACAATGGCGAGCAACTTGGTAAGATGGCATAAAAATGCACATGGCTCCATTCGCGTGCTGCGGCAGACATACTGGGCGTGCTAACGTCTACTAGACCACGCAAGTTCGTGCGTTCTCCGACATTACAAACCTAGCAACGGACGGCGACTTCACAAAACTTGTGGATGTAGAAGCATCCGGCGAAATGGACGAGCTGAAGCGGAAAATAAACCAGATGATATCAAACCTCAGAGACAGTATCCAAAGGAATACACAAGCGAGGGAAGCAGCAGAACTGGCAAACAAGTCAAAGTCAGAGTTCTTGGCCAACATGTCGCACGAGATTCGGACCCCGATGAACGGGATCATTGGGATGACGCAACTGACCCTGGATACCGACTTGACGCAGTATCAACGAGAGATGCTTAACATCGTCAAAAGTCTTGCAAACAGCCTCCTCACGATCATAGATGACATCTTGGACCTCTCCAAAATCGAGGCGAGAATGATGGTTCTCGAGGAGATACCCTACACACTGCGAGGCACTGTCTTCAACGCTTTAAAGACGCTGGCTGTTAAGGCAAATGAGAAACTGCTCGATCTCACCTTCAAGGTCGACAGTTCGGTTCCTGATTACGTCGTCGGCGACTCATTCCGACTTCGACAGATCATACTCAACCTCGTGGGAAATGCCATCAAGTTCACTGAGCATGGCCGGGTGAGCCTAACGATACAAGTACATAGGCTGGCCCACTCTGCGTCTGACGAGTACGTGGTCGAGTTTGTCGTCAAAGACACTGGCATTGGCATCGCCAAGGACAAACTGAACCTCATCTTCGACACTTTTCAGCAAGCCGACGGTTCCATGACGCGCAAATTTGGCGGCACAGGACTAGGCCTGTCTATCTCCAAGCGGCTTGTTCAACTGATGGGTGGTGACCTTTGGGTGCAAAGTGAGGTGGGTAAAGGCAGCCAGTTCCACTTCACTTGCAAAGTGAAGCTCGCACCGGATGATGTCCCTAGCATCCAGAAGCAGCTCCTGCCATACCACGGCCATCGAGTCCTTCTCGTTGATAAGGCTCAAGCCCGGTCCGGGGCAGACCTCAGGGCCATGGTCGAGCAATTGGGACTTTCACCGGTCCTGGTCAGCTCTGACGACGGTTCAGCGCTTGCCCGAGTTCAATCGGAGGGTATACTGACTTACGACGCATTACTTGTTGACTCCGTGGGTTCGGCTATGGAACTAAGAGCCATGGATGGCTTTCAGTACTTACCCATCGTCCTATTAGCACCCGTTGTCGATGTTAGTCTGAAGACTTGCGTTGACCTGGGAATTACCTCCTACATGACGACACCTTGCAAGCTCATCGATCTGTGTACAAGTATGATTCCAGCATTGGAGAACAGGGCTACCCTGTCTTTCCCGGAAGGAACACGAACCTTAAAGATTCTGCTCGCGGAAGACAATACAATCAACCAGAGACTGGCAGTCAAGATCCTCCAGAAACACAATCACATCGTCACAGTGGCTGGTAATGGGCTGGAAGCGGTAGAGGCAGTTACTGTGAAGTCATTCGACGTAATCTTGATGGACATACAAATGCCCGTTATGGTAACGCACAACTGTTGGAAGCCAATCTATCGCGTCTTTGGCTAATGGTATTTCAGGGAGGGTTCGAAGCCACGGCAAAGATTCGTGAATACGAAAGACACAGTGGAACTGCGCGAACGCCCATAGTCGCCCTTACTGCCCATGCCATGATGGGTGACCGCGAAAAGTGCATGAAGGCAGGAATGGACGAGTATCTGTCTAAACCATTGCAGCAGCACCTGCTCTTGGATACGATTCTCAAATGCGCAATCAAGCCAATAGCCGGTCGGCATTCGGAGGGACGTCAAGAGAACATTCGGGCGTGGCGCCAATGATTCGGAACTGGGTACAGGTTGTTGCACCAGGAGAATTCACACCGTACATATTCGACCTGCAAACCAGCAGCTGGCACGGGACAGACGCGCTAGTTGCACTATGGCTGGAACACCGACCGTGGGCTCGGTTTGGTCTGGGTACACTGGGCACAGTCGTGGCCATATACCTCATCAACAGGGCTCTGCTAACAGTTGGTGGAGCCCTTTTGCGCAAGGTCCAGCCAAGTGCACATACCCCAAAGCCAGTGAAGTTGGCTTAGGGTAAAGCCTCAGTCAGATACCTGATGAGGCGGCTGCGGGAGCGGCAGGATCCGATCGCCGTTGTGTTCAAAGTTGCGTTGCTTCTTCGACACCATATGTCACACACTGGGAGGGGAAATTGTGGGCAAAAAAAGGCTTGATCTCGGTCTAATAGCTGAAGGGGTGCAGGATACCGTATCGTATCGAGGCCCAAGCCAAGCGGCGAGCGATAAGCCTCTCCAGTCCTTTGCCAAGACATGAGAGCAGTGATATTGGCCTCCAGGCCCGTGTCTTGGAAAGATCACGCTTGCCTGGCTTTTCGATCATGACCACTTCGGCCTCCTTGAACCTCAGAGGGTGATAGCCAAGAGACAGGCACCCCTGATATAGGCGTTGGATGTGGCAGCGTAGAGCGGGCCATGCCGTTCGGAGCAGGCGTACCGTGATGTTGTCCGACCCTGGCGACGTGTTGCCTGTGCGCAGCAGAGCGTCCTGGACTTCCTAAATGGGGACATTGGGCGAGAAGGGGATGGGTAGGGTGTCTTCTGACGGCGTCCAGGGGTCGGAGATGTCGTCGTCTGCAGTTCTGCGCTCGAGAGTAGCGTGTCGTAGGGCCTCGGCCTTGCCGATTTGAGTCTCAATGATTGTTTCGCCGACCTGCAGAGGGGGCGGGCGGAGTACCCCGGGTCGCTTCAGCCATCGCGTGATCTTAAAAACGTCTTTGTCGCTTCGCACGCCATCAATCAGTTCGCGCCAGTATGCGCGCTTCGCGCGTCGCACCACCCGTCGCAGGTCGCGGCGAGCGAGCTGTACGTCGCGGTTGAAGCCGAGTGGGAATGCTCGTCTGATGCAGCGGAGCTCCGCAACAGACGCGGCACATTCCTCGTTCCACCAGGGAGCCTTCCGCGGTCTGCGTTGGGATCGCCGGCCAGCCGCGCGAGCTGCGGATCGTATGAGGTCTATAATTGCATCCGCGAGCCGGTCAAGATCTGCAGCCGTCGTTGCTGCCTGGGGAATAATTGTAGCCCCTGATACAACCAGCTCCGTGAACCGCTTCAGTTCCTCGTCGCTTGCGAGAAGAATCTTTCCAGGCGGGAGCGTTGCCGGCTTGAGAGCCGGGAGAGAGATGCTGAGGGTAAAGTGGTCCGAGCTCGTGGCAAGGTGGTCCTCCACCGTTGCCTCGGCTAGGGGAATATTTGAGAAGGCCAGGTCAATGGTATTGCCGTGGGCGTTCGTGGGCGTGTTGATCGGATTGAGGATATCTAAATCGTTTTCTGCGGCCCATTCTGCGATGATGCCGCCGTGGCCGCGGGAGGGGCCAATCTGCCACGTGTGATGCCTCGCGTTGAAGTCGCCTGCGATGATACATTGGCTGGGAATCGGCCATGCGAACAGGACTTCGAGGGCGGTGTCCACGTTCGGTTCCCGATATACGTTCACCAGAGTGACGCCATTGACCACGAGCCAGAGGATGTCTCTGGAGAGAGCGGGACGTTGCTGGTCGGCTAAGAGTCTTGCACCCCGGCGAATATATGTCATGACGCGCGGTCGGGTGTCGATGTCTTCCCAGGTGCTGACCGGTGAGTAGGTGTCGTACGCCGGGTGTGTCTTGGTGAGGCAGCGGGAGTCGCGGACTTGCGTCCAGGGCTCTTGTAGTAGTATGACCTCGTATCGTTCTGCATCAGCAAGGGCGAGTGCGCAATCGTGCGAGGGGCCATTCTTGCCGACATTGGCTTGAAAGACCCGGAAGAGTCGCTTGTCACGGTGCTGTCGTCTAGGTCGTCTGTTCATAGAGGCCGGTCTGGGGAGGCAAGGCGGCGCTTCTTTGGCGAAGTGTTTGGCTGAGGGCTGGAGGTGCGGATCTCAGGAGCCGGAGTTCCGAGGAGGCACGTGGAGGAGAGCGACGGCGTGGGCGTGGAGACCGAGGGAGCTGGGCTCAGCGAGGATCTCGCAGGCGAGAGGCTTGCGGGTGGTGCTCGGCCATTCCCAACGTACTCATTCGGTTCTTCAGACATCTCGATGCTCTGCCTCACGGGCGGAGAATTACTTCTGTCGCTGCGTGTCGACGAGGCTCGAAGGAGTACCGAATCGGCGGGGTTCATGGGCGTAGCTGAAGTGGGTTTGATGGGGCTGGCCGATGCTGCAGTGTTTTGCCTACCGCTGGAGGAGCTTGCAGAGCTTGGAGTCGGCGATGCTTGACTGTTCGGGGCAGCTGGAGCTGCCGGAGAGGCGGAGGGTGTTTCGCTAGGGCGTGATGCACTATTTTCCCTCTCGGGCTCCGGTGTGATTGCGTCGCTTGTCGTCGGTGTGCTCCGGCTGGACGGGGAGGTAGTGTCGCTCGCTGTCGCTGAGTCGGATTCGAGGCTCGTGGACTGATCCCGCGGTGGAGATTCTGGTTTTGCTGTAAACTGCTTGAACAGTCGTTTGCCCATGATTTGGACAAGTTTCTTCTCGGGCCTATTGAGGCTGTGGAATGCTCCGTTCACCTTCTTGGGGCGAGCCGGGCACTGGGGAAAGTCAACCGCGTGCGGCCCGTGGCAGTTGGCGCATTGCTGTGTGGCGGTACAGATGTCCTGGGCGTGGCCAGTCTTGCCGCAGTTCTTGCAGCGTGCCTGGCGTCCGCAGTTGTAGCGTGAATGGTAGTCCCAGCAATTATCACATTGCTTCGGCGGGTTGGTTTTGACGATGAGTCTCGCATAGCTCGTCGTGTCGAAAAGGCGCCAGTAGTGCTTGACCTCCTTGGCAAAGGATATGATCAGGGTCCGGGTCGGGAGCTGATCCGAGTCCTGTTTCGCAGTTATCACCCTCTCCGGGGTTTGGCCGGTTTGCGTGGCGACCTCGTCTCGGATCGCCTTCTCGTCGTCGATGGCTTCGCCAAAGATGTTATTGAAGCGGCGTGGGCAGCCTTGGACCGCATACGTGTACCACTCCTGTCGCTTTTCAACGATCTGTGCGGAGATGTCAGGGGCCCACTCGGCCTGCCGTTCAGTCAGAAGATCCCTGGTTGCCAAGTCAGCGGCGCGGATGGCCCATCCGGTTTTGCAAGGGTGGGCTTCCGGGATACGGCTCCGGGCGATGCCGAGCTTGTCGGCGATGTGGGTCCGGACGGCGAAACTTCGAGACATGTCGGCGGTATGGCCGGGGCGGAGGCGGGCGA